GTATTACAAGGCAGGGTGAGCCATTGCTAGCTGGTTAGCATGCTAACTTTAGTAGATATTTCTGCGACTTGATATAAAGACACATTTAACACAGTCAAAACTGTTATTTCTTCACATTCTGTTGATAATTTTAGTTCATTTTTTAATGTTTTAGACTAAATATTATATAAATTGAACCTTTAAGTTCACTTAGCTAACTAGCTATTAATCTCTCTCCACATGGTAACAGCTAACATTAGCTGACCTAAGGCTGTGAATTTTTTAGCCTCTGCTTAAAATACCCACATAAACCAGTGTGTCTGTTTGTTCCTGATGGTTTTGTAGTGTGTTTTGGCTTTTTACTGGATTGATATCACAATATAAAATGGTCTAACAGGTGACCAGTGGCTCATTCAAAATGCATTCGCTGGTTTCCTAATTGGTTCCTAATTGGTTGGTTTCCTAAAATTATGAAGCCACTTCCCAACAGAAAGCAAAACCATTAGGTTTTAATCCTAATGGCCCTTTTTTAGCAGGGGTGTGTCAGTCTACTGTAGTGTTCGATAGTAATAAAACAAGAGCCACAGCTTTCGCACAAGTCGTGGTGTATATTTCCAGCTGTTGTGGACCACGGCTACTTATATTATAGATATTTTGCCAAAATTGTTCAACCCTACTTCCTGCACACACACATAGGCTGCGTTCAAAACCGCGTACTACCATAATAAACAGTAGGTCAAAAACAGTACGACACCAATAGACATCCATTCATTAGTGAAGTATAGCAGTACGGAGGTCCGTAGTCCCCGCCCTCTCAACCAAGAGTCCGTAGTCAAATAAACCCAGTGAATAAATGCTGGAGAACAAACAACCTAGAATTAACACGCAAACGTTTTTTGAACATACACTCTTAAAACAAGATGGTTCTTCAAGGGTTCTTAAGTAAAGAAAATGGTTCTGTATATAACCATGAACACTCAAGGAACCCTTTGCATGATCAAATGGTAATTTGCATTGTGAAAGCGTTCTTCAGCTTGATGGAGAACATGTTATTTTTGGTTCTATATAAAATCTTTTTTGAAAATGGTTCTACATAGCACCAAAATGGGTCCTTCTATTGTTACAAGCTTGGCATTGTAATAATAGAAGAACCATTTTGGTGCTAAATAGAACCATTTACAACACATTCTCCATCAATCTGAAGAACCCATTTACCATGCAGAGAACCATTTAATCATGCAAAGCGTTCTTAAATGTTCATGGTTCTGCTTATAATATACATTCTTCAGATTGATGTTGAGTGTATTAACTATGGTTTTATATAAAACCTTTTTAAAAGGGTTCTATATAGCATCAAGCTTGACATTGTAACAATAGAAGAACCCTTTTGGCACTATACAGAACCCTTTTCAAACAGTTCTACTAAAAGTTCTAGGGTTCTACAACACACTTTCCATCAATCTGAAGAGCCACTTCACAATGCAAAGAGCTCTTTGAGTGGCCATGGTTGTATATAGAGCCATTTTCTTTACCAAAGAACCCTTGAAGAACCTTCTTTTTAAGAGTGTATCATTAGCCACATCTAACAAACGTCACTAGTTGTGAAAGACAGGCTGCTCTGATAGTGAACTGTAAAATAATCAAGACGACTCAAAAGAGTAAGATTTTTTTTAAAAAGGTTGCTGTACTTCATGTGTATGTAGCAGATTTGAGATCGTGACCCTGTTTCTCACTGATCATGTCATGTTTCATACCACGGAAACACCTCACAAAGACAGAAACACAACAGCACATTTTCCAGTTTAATACAGTCAAGTTTCAGTTCATGTTTTAAAACTCTTGATTCTGCAGAGCTCTAATTATATACTACACTGATTGGTTTGGCTCAGAAATAGGGATGGTCATCAGGGGTGTGTGGGTCCATACTGAAATCTCGATACTTCTGATCCTGACGTTTGTTTTAGAGAATCAATCCTTACAATGCAGCATCGACACCAGGTGTTTTCTTTCAGCAGTAAACTGAATATACACCAGATAGTGAAAAGGTAAAAAACGATCACAGCAAATAAATATAAGGAACGGGAACTACTGCCCTCTCCTCTGCTCCTCACCCACACACAGAGGCACAAATAGCCACAGGAGACGCAGTGAATGCTCTATAATGGCAGATCTTTTGGTGCTGTTTCCCTAAACGGACTATGTAATACTAATACAAATGCTTTCCAATATCATTTTTAATGTCTGTTTTTTATAACTAGTTTTTACCAAAGAAATCACAAAGAATTCCTCCTTTTAAAAGCATCAATACCTGTATTAGTCTTGCTATTTCTTGGCATGAACAGAAAATCAGTGTTATCACCCACCATGTGCATTCTTAGTAACATTAAGAGTAAATGAATATATATATATCTATATTATATTTTATATATATATATATATATATATATATATATATATATAAAACTCCTAAACAGGAATAGAATATATGCTATATCATAACACAAACATGGCAATCTTGTTCACTTGTTCACTAACCGGTGCAGTTGAAGATGATGAAGACTCGTGGGCGTCTATACACCTCCTTTCTTCTCAGTGGATGTTTTGCCAGTGTGGTAGTACATCCAGGTAACATTAAGAACAGAGAAACAAACATATATTTTTTTCTGGTTTTATCTAATGCCAGCTAGCGTAGTCAGTCTGGCTGCAGGTGCACAACCTCTACCTTCGCAATTACACCCTTAACAATGCATCCCAGCAAGGCCATGCTGCAAAAGTTATACTATCTTAATCTTAAAGCTGCACTGCGTAAGATTTGGGGATTTGGAGACCTCTCTGGTGGAAATGTGCAACTGCAACTGGCAGAACATTTTGTAAGGCCGTGTTCAGACAGCGGAGTGTATTCCACCCAAATGCCACTTTATCTTACAGCAGCACAGAGGTAGGAGCACTTTGTTGTAAACTTCATGTTAGTTTAATAAAAACACTGATATAGTACAGCAATGCATTCTAGTAACTGCACTCTGTTAATACTGTAATCTGTGATCAGTCACTCATCACAGAACTGACTCTCTGTGTGGTTTCCTTTCTTTGCCGAGTTGAACAGCCGCCCATCCTGTGTGTCTGATGCTGTTGCTTCTTCTGCCTTGATCGGGTGCCCACTGCTCGCCAGCCTTCTGGACCGGCTTGACCACCATAGAGTTTCATGCTGTACAACGCTGTGCAAACCTCACCCTCATGAACTGACCCTCCTGATGCTGCTGCTGCATAAACTAAAACTAATCCAATTAACCATTGCTCTGCCTGTTTTCCCGTTTTGTACTACAATCCTTTATACTAACGCTGTTTGCTATCTGGTGTCGACCAGAGGAGGATGGGTTCCCCTTCTGAGTCTTGGTTCCTCTCAAGGTTTCTTCCTCTTGCTCTTAGGGAGTTTTTCCTTGCCACTGTCGCCATTGGCGACGTCATGGGGGCTCGGACCCGGATTTTTCTGTAAAGCTGCTTTGTGACAACACCTGTTTGTAAAAAGCGCTATATAAATAAACTTTGCTTAGCTTAGTTGTATTAGTATGCTGTTAAACATGTAAGCACTATAATATAAAAATTATGTACGTTTGTGCCAATAACCCTACACTGCAATATGACACATGGGCCAACCACCCCCAGAATCAATGTGCCAACCAGCCTCACCCACATCAGGACATAACTATGTACTTAATGTTAGTTCGCTACCAGCTTTATGTTACATTTTTGTGAGAATCCCCCCTGTTAACCTGAAACATTAACCCCTGGGCCGATCAAACCCATCCTCCCCCATGCAAAGTGCTCTAAGTGCTCTATTCCATATTTTGGGTGGAAAACACTCCACCGAAACGCTGCCTTTCAAAATGTTCTTCCACACGTTGTGTGCAGTTACACATTTCTACCAGAGAGGTCTCCAAATCCCCAAATCTTACGTACTGCAGCTTTAAGATTAAGATAGTATACATTCCTATTTATAAAAACACTAATTTGAATCCAGAACAAAAGATTGCAAAGTAGAATATCCTTTGGTAAAATAGCCATCTTATAAAATAGCCATAGCACTGTAAATTTCCCCTGTTGTGGGGCCTAATAAAGGATTATCTCATCTTAAAACATGTTGGCACCATATCAAGTACTGAGCTACAAGTAGATAATAATAAATTACATATAAAACCACATACAGCACATCTCCATTTTCAACCTCCCGAAATTAAATTATAAATGTCACAAAAACACAGTTATAATGTATAAAACAAAGTCTGACACTAAGCTTTAATTATGACTAACCGTTTCAACTAAACGCTAAACTTTGCTCATTTGTTTTCTGATGTTTGGATACAGAACGGAATTTGTTGCACCTTTACAGACTATTTTGTGTGGTTTAATTGTCTATTTTGCTGCTCCTCGAAAAATGAAAACTCCTTTTCCCCCCAACGGTTTTCATAAGAATCTTAATATTAGCTTGTATCTACAGTCAGACAGAAGGAAATGGTAATACCCCACAAAGGAAGGAGTACCAACTGGTGTGAGCGTGAGGAGCAGCAGCAGCAGCAGGTGGCCTCGCACAGCCTACCTCTCGTAAACTCCCTGTGCAACGTTGCCTTGGCAGCAATTAGCCCCTTCCCCTGCCTGTCTGCCTGTCTCTTCTCAGCCTGCGCCGCTTCCCTGACAGCAGGAACAACAAGTGGCCGCAGAACGACAAGATGTTGTAAAACAGAGAGCAGGGGGGAGAGGCGAGGGGGCCCGGGGGAGGGAGGAGGGAGGCACAGGGCAGAATCTGACATCCATCAGTGCTCCAGTAAACCTGGATGAGTCATTTGTCGCTGAGAGGAGCAAGTCGGGGCGATTTCTCCAGGGATTGAAAAGCCACTGCCTGGTACTCTCACACGACCGATAGAGAGAGAGAGAGAGTGATAGAGATAGAGAGAGAGATGGAGGAAAAGGGAGATTGGGAGCATCTGAGTGGGTGGGGTCGGAGATGATGATGAAGGAGGGGGGGAGTTAGAAAAGAGAGGGAGAGGAAGGGGTCTGTGGTGGTCATCATCATTCTTGGAGCAGAAATTTGTAAGGATGGACAGTGGAACCTGCCCAGTTCATTCATATTGAGAGGTTTTTGTTTTGTTTTTGTTTTTTTTCCCGAAGTGAAGCTGGATCTGGACAGCACCATGTTGCTGTGGATAGGAAGTGAAAAGGTGGGAAGAGACTGAGGAAAGGATGGCGTACACACAGGTAAGCCTCAGTAACTACTGCTGCACCTACTTTAGCTGCAGCACCCATAACACAGAACACTACTTGTTTTCCTTTATATACATTTAAACTGATGCTTTTAGAATGAATGTTTCTCTTTATTCACGTATCTTTATTCAGATGCTCTTTTCCAGAGCGCCTTACAGATTCAGAAACCGATACAAAGTACATAGAACCTGCAAGAACTTACGACCTAAAAGAAAAGAGCGCTACACACTTTAAAAAGATGGTTCTTTAAGGGTTCTTTAGTAAAGAAAGCGGTTCTGTATAGGACCATGAACACTTAACGAATGCCTTGCATGGTGAAATTGTTCTTCAGATTGCAGATTTCAGATTGTTGTAGATGGTTCTATATAGAACCTTTTTGAAAAAACGGTTCTATATAGCACCAAAATGCGTTCTGCTATTGCTACAATGTCAAGTCTGTAACAATAGAAAAACACTTTTTGGTGCTATACAGAACCATATGCAGCACATTCACCATGCAAAGAACCATTTAGTCATGCAAAGGGTTCCTTAGTAAAGAAAATGGTTCTGTGTAGAACCATGAACACTCAAAGAACCATTTGCATGATTAAAAGGTTCTTTGCATTGTGAAAGTGTTCTTCAGATCGCAGATTTAATTGTTGTAGATGGTTCCTTTTCAGAACCTTTTCAAAAAAAGGGTTTTATATAGCACCAAAATGGGTTCTGCTATTGCTAAAATGTCAAGTCTGTATTAATGGTAGAACCCTTTTTTGGTGCTACATAGCACCATTTTCAAAAAGATGCTATATAGAATCATATACAGCACATTCCCCATCAATCTGAAGGACCATTTTACCATGCAAAGAACCATTTAACAAAGCAAAGGGTTCTTTAGTAAAGAAAATGGTGCTATATAGAACCATGAATGTTGGTTGCATGATCTTCGCATCGTGAAAGTGTTCTTCAGATTGCAGAGTGTTGTAGATGCTTCTACATTCTATCCATTTTCAAAAAGGTTCCATATAGAACCATATACAGCACATTGTCCATGATTCTGAAGAACCAGTGTTGTAGATGGTTCTATTTAGAACCTTTTTGAAAAGGGTTGTACATAGCACCAAAAAGGGTTCTGCTATTGTTACAATGTCAAGTCTAACAAGAGAAGAACGCTTCTTGGTGCTATATAGAACCATTTTCAAAAAGAACTCTTTAATCGGGCAAAGGGTTCCTTAGTAAAGAAAAAGGTTCTTTATAGAACCATGAATGTTCGTTGCATGATCTTTGCACCGTGAAAGTGTTCTAGATGGTTCTATATAGAATCTTTTTGAATAGGGTTTCATATACCACGAAAAAGGGTTCTGCTATTGCTACAGTGTCAAGTCTGTAACAATAAAAGAACTCTTTTTGGTGCTATGTGGAACCATTTTCAAACGGGTGCTACACAGAACCATATACAACACCTTCTCCATCAATCTGAAGAGCCATTTCACCATGCAGAGAACTTTTTAATCATGCAAAGGGTTCTTTAGTAAAGAAAATGGTTCTATATAGAACTAGGAACGAACCCTTTTCATGATCCTTGTATCATGAAAGTGTTCTTTAGATTGCAGATTGTGGTGTGTTGTAGATGGTTCTATACAGAACCTTTTTGAAAATGGTTCTATATAGCACCAAAAAGGGTTCTGCTATTGTTACAATGCACTCTTTGCATGATCAAAGCGTTCTTTGCTTCGTGAAAGAGTTGTTCACATTGATGGAGAATGCATTATCTATGGTTCTATATAGTACCTTTTTGAAAAAGGGTTCTATGTAGCACCCAAAGGGTTCTTCTATTGTTACAAGTTTAACACTATAACAATAGTGCAAAATAGAACCATATGCAGCACTTTGTCCACCAATCTGAAGAACCTTTTCACCATGCAAAGAACCTTTTATTCAGGCAAAGCGTTCTTTAGTAAAGAAAATGGTCCTATATAGAACCACGAATGAATCTTTGCTTCATGAAAGTGTTCTTTAGATTGCACATTGCAGCGTAGTAGGTGGTTCTATATTCTATCCATTTTCAAAAAGGTTCTATATAGAACCATATACAGCACATTCTCCATCAATCTAAAGAACCATTTCACCATGGAAAGAAACCTTTGATCATGCACAGGGTTCTTTGAGTGTTCAAGGTTCTATACAGAACCATTTACTTTACTAAAGAACCCTAAAGAGCCATCATTTTCAGGAGTGTATCATAGTTTGATCGAGATGAAATACAGATATTAAGACTTTAGGATTTTGAGGACAAATAATGAAATAAATTGTAGTTTTTTCATCCTCAATTTACTTTATTCTATTCAAGGCCTTCGTCCATTAAAATACATCGGAAATGCGTGTTTATGGTTTATTGAGGTTTTATGTTGCACTGTTTTCTGTGCTTGACTGACATGCGGTTATGATTTTATACTCTTGCAGACTGAAATGCAGTTGTAATGCAGTTGTAATGGCTTTTATCAAAAAAAACATAAAAAAGCTGAATGCCACACATTTGAAACTCTGTTCCAAAATATTGGCCCCTTTTCACAGTGGAGGCCCTCCCTCTAACCAAATATGATATTATTCTGCATAAATCTATCTGATATTACATTTCTCAAGTGTTAAAGAAATGTAAGACTGATTGTGGATATATAATCTTACCAAAAATATACCAGTTTATTCAAAATATCAGTGAGATTGTTGCTCTAATATGATAAAGGGCATAAAACATATTCATGTGTGGTTTTAATGGTGTGCTCATTATTATTTATCATTTTGCGCCTCAGCGGAGGTCTGAGCAGTGTTTGTGTCGTGTTTGTGTGTGTGGTGGCCATGTGCTGCGGTGTGTACGCTGAGTGTGTTTCTGACCCGCTGTGTCACGCCTGCTCCAGCTGCAGCCGGGGAGAGCCGGGCTGTATCGCAGTTACCATGGTTACAGCCGGAGCTAATTGCTCAGACAACATCAGGCCGCTGATGGAGAGAGACACAGGGGCAAAGGGCTGAACAGTGGGAGAGAGAGAGAAAGAGGAGTGGAGAAAGGTATAGAGAAGGATGAGAGGTGGAGAAAGAGAGAGAGAGAGAGAGAGAGAGAGAGAGGGAGAGAGAGACATAGAGGTGGAATCACTAGTTCAGAAAAACAGGAAGCCGGAGCTGTGTGTGTAGGAGATACTGGAACATCTGCGATTTGGTAGCTGTCACATTAGGAGAGTAGCGAGGAGGCCAGAAGGAGATCGATTTGCTCAGGCCTGACCGTTCACCCACTGACCTATTGCGTCAGGTGTGTAGAGAGAGTAAAAGTCACGCATTCAGAGATTCATGAGCTCATTTCAGCTTAAGCCAACCTGCTGATGAACTCTAATTTCATAATGAAAATGAAATGTCACCCTCAAATGAAAAGAGCATTACTTCATTAACAGCTACCAGCGCTGCTCTGTAGGCGACCCTGCCAGTCTGCAGTGACAGCAGAGGAGGGTAAAGTTCAGCTCCTCACTGCTGGGCTTTAGTTACATTTAGGGCATCATATGCCTTCAAAGAGGGGGGCAATTATTTATTATCACCCACCTCTAATTCTTCAGTGATATGAAGCTGAAGTCAGATATTCAGCAGCTTCTTGTTCGAATTTGCCCGTTCCACCTTAAATGGTGCAGCAGTTACATGTAACTGCTGGACTATTTAAGGTGGAATGAGAAATTTAGCTAGCTAGCTACTAAGACATCAGCATACTAGCATGTTTGTTATGAGGAAAAGGACGATAATACATTGAAACAACATTAAACTAAGTTAACATAATGGTTATCGTAATTTTTAACAGAGAAAATTATCATACTTGTGGGTTTCTTTGGTCTCTTGTTCAGCCATCTTGCTGGTTTTTCTTTTTTTCTCATAACTCTCTGTTTGGAGTCTCTGAAAAACCTCAGTTCGGAGGACGATATAGCCCCAACACTTCACCCTCCCCCTCTATCTCAACAACAATCGGGACACCCTACCCCTAGACGTGAACACACAAAACAGAGGGGTAGGGCTAAGTGGTAGGCGCCAGGGGTGAAATGGGACTGGGCCTTTCCGTCTTATGCTGGTTCCATTAGTATTAAATGCTGTGCTGCATGTGCTGTTGACAGTGTAGTCTTGTGTAGCTTCCTGTTGAATGTATTGTATGTTCAGTGCTTGTAAAGTCTACCTGGGCACTAGAAATGCTCTGCATAGGTTAAAAAACGCTAATAGTTGATTCCAGAATTCACAATTTACTCTCTAATTCTGAAGCTCAACAGGTTCAAATGAGACTAAATGTCTCCTAAAGCCTAATGTAAAAACAGCCTTCAGTCCAAATAGTCTCATTTTCATACTGCTGTGCCTCTCAGTGACTACATTGGGAAGTCAATACAAGGATACTGGTATCGGCAAAATAGTTAAGCAATGAAAAACAGTTTTTTTATCCATCACCATTCAGCAGGCAAATGAAAGGGATGCATGTAATGAAATGTGTTTCATTGCCTTGCTGTGTTTGTCCTGCTAAACTCTTTGGTTTTCTTCCCTGGTCTGCCATTCTGCCCACTGCTGACCTCCTGCTTTTCTGCTTCCTTCCACCTGTAAAAAAGGACAGTTGGAACCCGTCAATGAGGTAAGAATGATCAGGATTAAAACATGCTTATGTGCTCTGAGAATATCGTTTGCTTAATGATGTTTGTGTAAAACAGAAGCTCAAAAAAGAGTAGCAAGTTATATCTTAGTGACTTTAAACATTTAAATGTAGTCAATATATCTAATATTTCTCATTATAAAACGGATAGTTCCGGTCCTAAAATCTGATTGGCTGAGCTATATTCCTTGTAAAATCCACCTTAGACCCACACCTATGACCGCTTCACAGCAGCTGGACTCTGTATCTCTGCACCATGGCACGAAAACCCTTGCGCTGTTAATAGATTACACGTTTCAAATGTTCGTGTTTCAGTCAAAAGTAACATCAAACCCAGGCTGAATCCCAAACGGCTCCAAACTCCAAGTAGTGTGCTAACTATGAGAGTTTAGAAATTCTAGTCTTTACAGCCCTATAGTACATTATTTATCGAGTATGGTTGTTGCTGAATCCCAAATGACCTTTTTTAGCAATAGTATTCATTGTTTGGGTGCATATTTACTATAAATTCCTACGTAGTGCACTATGTAGGGAGCAGGGAGCCATTTGAGATTCAGCCCCAGTGTGAGAAGAGGGCGCTGCTGGATTGGTTCACTGTTCACTGTTATACGACAAAAAGTTCAAACAAAACTCCTCATTCAGCGGTCTATAGTTACGATATCATACTCTGAAGGAACTATATTTCTTGGCGGAATAATTGTTTCTGTCGATTATTACTAATAATACATTATTTTCTGAATTGGGGAGTTTTAGACACTCCGGCCTCTCGTGACTTATCGCTTTATTATGAGGCTGTTGTGAGATTTATTTATTTATTTATAGACATTTTTACTTGTTTTTAAGCAGTTTCATCTGATAAAAGTGTCTTATTCCACTAGCAGATCAGATGTTGCTCGTTTTTAGCATTATTTCTTGAAATAAGCAAAATTATCTTCATTATTCCTCTAAACAAGTAAAACAATTTGCCAATGGAATAAGACACTGAAAAGATAAAACCACTTAAAACAAGTAAAAATGTACAGAAACAGGTGCAATTACTATATAATATTCTTACAAGAGTCTCATAATGAGAAACATTAGATTTAGTGACTACATTTACGAAGTTTTCACTTGTTAAGATATGATGTTTAGCAGTGAAGCAGTGTCAGAATACCAGCTGCCCTTTATGATATATGAACATTTCATAATGATTGGACCAACAGAAATGATCCAAAATTGCTTAAAGTCTGGATACATGAACCTGCATTCTTGAAAATAAAGGTGCCAAAAAGGTGTTCTTTGGAGGAATGACTGAAGAACTTTCAATGGGTGGTTCTTTAAAGAGCCATTTGGTGAGTGTAACTTTATAGCAATGGTTTGTAAATAAAAATAAAAGCTAATGAAATTTGAAAAACTTTAATAACCCTGATTCCAACCACAGTCTGCCGCACCTACCGAACATCTTCCGAAGTTCTAAATTTGCTGGATCAGGTGCAGCAGTGTTAGGTAAAGAGGTGGAACAGCATGTTAGTGTTTCCAAAGGAGTTCAAGGCAATGCTCTCTGAAGTAACTTCATGCCACAGATTTTTTTTTTAAATGGGAACCAAGGATGTGCCTCTCAAAATGAAAGATCAATTTTATTTTGTTAATAATACACAAACATACCTTTCAAAGGACTAAATGTGACATTTATTTAAACCAAAGGACATAAGATACAATCTGGTTTTATTCAAAGCTTAAAAGTTCCACAACATGGTATGTCCTGCTTTAAACAGAAAGCTAGAAAGGTATAATCTTATATAAAATCAATCAATTATGTTCACACTAACCAAAATTAGCTAAGGGCAGGGCTCAAGTGTAAGTGGCTGCCTGCGGGGCAGAATTAAAAGCTCTACCGCCTCATTAAGTCTCACTCCAAACACTCATCAAATCACACAAAGTGAAAAAAAAAAGAAATCAAAATTACACAACTCAGCAAAGAAACCAGTGCAATGATGAGTCGTCTAAGCCACAACCACCCACTGCAAAGCCACTGACCACCTGGCCTAGCCCAATTGGAAAGAAGAAGAAGAAGAAAAAAGGAATATTGAATGAAAAATCCAACAACTAAAAGTAAAATAATACACAGTTTATATCGTTGCTGTCCAAAGAAAAACGAGTATCTCCAAAACAGTAACTTTACAGGAGAGGGCAAAAACACTCTTATCTTTCAGTGTAAATTAATGTAAAGAGGTTTCGTTCCAAGTGATTTTAGAGCATTTCTATTGGTCCATTCATCATGAAATTCTCACACAACATAAATGACGGCGTGTTAAATTGATGTGTAACAAAAACTGATGGAGATACATGCTTTTCTTTGGTGACGGTGTACAGTGACGGTATACAACCTCGAGGCGGGACGCAACACTTAAGGCCTTAAACCTTTGGATTTCCTGTCTTGAACAAAAGAGGCCAATAAACAATAGAAAAGAATAAACAAAGAAAATCAGGCGAAACAGTAGGATAACATGAAACTCTGTTCAGTTAGAAACAGCAGCTCAGGAACCCTCACTCAGTGGTATACAGCATAACAGAGCAGGCCTTCACCACAAAGCAGCCAACCAATTTAGAGTCAAACATGGGCCCACGGGAACAAGCACCTCCTGTAGCATAAGATTAGGGCCCACCCAATGAAGAGGAAAGGAGTAACATCACACTGCTCAGTGACTTAAGCTGTTCAGGGCACCAACAAAAGGTGCCAGAAGGATCCAACTGCTGTCTTAGCATGCAACCACAAACAGGACCAAAAGCCAGCAAAGAAATGCCGTTTAAGAAATTAATGTTGTCAGAATCTCCAAAATGGTAACTTTAGAAAAAACATACTTTACTTTTGATGTAAGTCAGTGGAACCAGACTTTTTTTACAAGTCATTTTGGGCCATTTCTTTTGCCCCCCTATACCATTATGAATACTGGCTTTTGAACTGTGCACTGATAACAAGCTGAGTGGTCTTTAGCCCGGAGGACACAGTGTCCATGATTTCCAAAAAGAATTTCAAATGGTGATTTTTCAGACCACAGGACACTTTTCCACTTCCCCTCAGTCCATTTTAAATGGGTTCGGGCCCAGAGAAGGTGGCAGCGTTTCTGGATCCTGTTTATATATGGTTTGTTCTTTGCATTTTAGAGTTTGAACTTGCAATTGTGGATGCAGCGACAAACTGTTTTCAAAGACAGTAAGTCAATGGAACCAGACTTTTTCCCAAGTAATTTTGGGCCGTTTCTTTTGAATGAATGAATGAAATCCACACACAATGTAAAGGGCAACAGGCATTTTCAAATTATGACAAAAACTGGAAAACGACAAAAAATACAAGGTTTTCTTCCAACAGTAATGAAACAGTTCCTGGAGAACTACAGGAAATGGGAAGACGTTTTGCCTGCCATAATAAAAGCCTCAAAAGGAGTATTGCACCTATCATAATAAAAGGCTTCCAAATGTTTCGTCCTGCCACGTTAGATGCAATTTGGAATGAACTGCTGCAGGAAAGTAGATCTCTGGGTGCAGGGTTGGTGACCACTGCTATAAAGCATCTCCTCAAATTTAAAGGTACTGTAAAGCCCACTGACCCCCCCGGATATCTTCTTATACGAAAAGGCTAATCTGGTTGCTCGCATTTTTGGTAATATATCTGATGCTAAATCTGCATTTTTGGATATATATCTGATGCTAAATCACAGGCCATGGATAGACATCAAATGAAGGTGTATGCAGTGAAGCATCTAAAAACTGTTTTCATCTTTCCGTTCATTGCCTCTTCTTCCAGACTCATTTCCTCTGTTTTCCCCCATCAGCATCTTGTTTTTAGTCATTAATTATTGAAGCAACAGAGGCACGTAATCTGACACCCCAGGGGCGGGAGAGGGCTTTTTTGCATTTTTGGGAGTGCAATCATCCCTCTCTCATCGTCCTCCTCCCTCTCTTTGATGGGAATCACTCAGCCGAAATCATGCGGAAAATAAGTCCCCTCTTAAACATGACCTCATCTGCCTGAGATGCGTCACGCCAGGTCCCCGGTCTAAGGCTGCCTGCTGGCTCCAGCACCTCCCCGCATCGTGACTGTCTCTGTGACATGCCGATCGCTTTTGAGAGGTTCTTTATTTCCTCCCCAGACGCATAAGCCGGTTGTTTAGCCGCCTGTGTTCAGACGAAGTGCGATGGCGCTAAATAGAGTGTGAGATTTGGGGCCACGAGTGCACAGAGCCATGCTGGAGCGAAGCTGATGACTCATTCGCTTCAATACTGGGCCTATATAGAAATGTCTGTTGATGTCTGCCTGTGTTCGGGACTCTTTGTAGCTTCTCTCGCTGCTTCGAAGTCCAGACGAGCAGAGAATAGCAAAAATATTTTCATTGGAGCCATGAATCTGTAATAATCTTGTACAGGGGTAGACGTTGCTTATTGGCAGGTACCACAGCATTTTACAGTGAAAACGCAGTGGCCGTGTGGTCTGGAGATGTTTTTCGTACTTTTTCCCTTTAACGAACCTGCCTGGTTGGACACAGAACTAATCCGAAAAATCAGACTTTGTTGCAGTTGTTCTTTAACCTCTTATTGACCAGGGTGTATTTTGGTTTGTCCATCTGAATTTACATGACCAAATCATAAGGCAAATTATTCAGTAACTGCATGAAATGAATGTAAATTTTTATTTTATTTTATTTTTTTTTGTAAAAGTTCCCCTCAAATTAACAGAACATGAGTTTTCTGATCACACATATTTCTATATGCTTACAATTTACTGCTGAAAGCCAAAAATCTTAGACGCTCTTTGTATTATTTTATAAAAATAATTTTTACAGAGCAGATCACTGAAGAGACGCCATCTGTTTATAGTTTATAGCCCAGATTTGTGGAAAAAAAATGGATCGACTTTCAGTAGACAAAAAATAGTGAGTTCAACTTGTTTTATTATAAGGGTTTAGAATGACATCACCCATCTATTTGACTGGAAAGAAGACAGTTACAGCTCTCATACGACGCCCCACCTTTTGAATGTAGCTTATGAAATATGAAAGTTATGAAGAATAAGACGAAGTGCGTTTTGGAACCACCGGTGGTCTCAAGAAGTTGAAAAGGTTAACTGTAGCCACCATGATAGTTAGTGTTATGGTATGGTGATCGTGGTCGTCGCCGCTGGAGCCCGTCAGCCTGACGTCAGGGATGCTGTTCCACTGGGTGAAGTTCGCCAATATCACAATAAAGAAATAAACAAAATAAGGTGATAAATAAGGAATATATAAATAAAAAATGGTCCTTCAAGGGTTCTTTCAGTAAAAAAAAAAATGGTTCTCTTTGCATGATTAAAGGGTTCTTTGCATCATGAAATAGTTCTACAGATTGATGGGGAATGTGCTATAGATGGTTCTACATAGAACCTTTTGAAAAGTGTTCCATATAGCACCAAAAAGGGTTCTTCTGTTGTTACAATCTTAAAAAAAGAAGGTGCTTCAAAAGTGGCTCTATTTGGAACCATGAACACTCAAAGAACCCTTTGCATGATTAAAGGGTTCTTCGCATCATGAAAGTGTCTTGCTGTTGGAGAATGTGCTGTAGATGTGCTTTTTGAAAATGGTTCTGTATAGTTCTATATAGTTATGGTGTCAAGCTTGTAACAACAGAAGAACTCTTTTTAAAAAGTTTCTATATAGAACCATCTACAGCACATTCTCCAACAGTCTGAAGAACACTTTCTTGAAGCAAAGAACCCTTTGAATCATGCAAAGGATTTTTAGGGTGTACCTAAACGGTACCTGATGAAATAACCTGGATCGGATGATATCAGGGTCAACGATGTCAGCAGGGGGGACCACCACGGTCACCACAAAGGCAAAGTTCTTATTAAAGTTTTTAACAAACATTTCCTTTTTAAAGCAACACGTCACATTATTTGGCACTAATGTTTGCTTGTTCATTCTAAATGTGATGTAAGTTTGTTGTTCTGGCCATAAACTCTTGTTTTTGGCTTGGTGGCCTGAGTGCCTAGTGCCAACTTCTATATTTGTCTACCCTGATCTTGTATAATAATAATACACATTTTACTGGATGTTGTGTTCCTGTGCAGGTGTCTGTAGATCACTGAGTCGTATGTGTGTGTGTGTGTGTGTGTGTGTGTTACTCGTCTGTGCTTTGCTCCTCCGCAGGGTCTTCTGTCCAGACTGTCAGACTTGCTGCTGTGTCGTTGGTCGTGCCGGTCTTGCTGGCAGTGGTGTTGGGAATGTAGCTGCTGCCAGTCCACTGAGGAGGAGGTGGAGATTTTGGGGCCGTTCCCTGCACAGACCCCATCGTGGCTGTGAGTGCACCTTTACAAGCCTTGTTTTGTTGTCTTTCATTTATTTGTTTATTTATGTATGTCACAGACAGTGCACATGAATGAACATAAACATAAACATGTCATTTTCAGCTGCTGTCCCTGAAGTTACACTCTCAGAAATAAAGGTAGTAAACTGTCACTGGAGCGGTACCCCTCTCATCACTGGGGTGGTTCCCTCAAGGGTACATCTCAGTACCTTTAGTCAGGGAACATAGCTGTACCATAATCCACTGCAATGATATGTTCTAAGCTGTACTGACTCCACACACCCCGTCTCGTCTCCAGGCTTTTATTTTACTGTTCTGTTTTAAAACATTAGATTATAAAAAAGTACAAATACGAACTTTTCACCTGGAAAACCTTATTTAAGGTTCACAACTGGACCCTAAAACCACTGTTGTACCTTTGAGGGAACATTTACATTGTTTGTACCTTGATGAATGAGAAAATTTAACTGCACAGAACCTTTATTTCTAACAGTGTATAAGTCATTATATCACACCACCCAACCCTACCTTACCATAAAATGGTAGTTTAACCATTTAAAATCTCAGGCTTATTACATACTAAGGCTTATTATTCAGTACAGGGACTTTAATGCAAACGGGTTGAGATATTCTTTGGATATAGGAGCGTGTAATAAAACCTTGGGCCTGCCAGTAGAACCTGGCCATTTAAGGGTTAACACTAAATAACCCTCAGCCATGCTATCACCATGCAATCCAGTTCCAACCCTTTATAAAATACACTAAATACAACTTTTCATAGCCATTTGTTCCGAACAGCACACACTGTGCATTCTCACCATTTTCTTTATTAGAATTGAGATACTTTGTACTTACACTCACTTTATGAGGACATCATACATTATAGGTCTCATATATGGGTGTATAGTTACAGGTTGTAGTGTTACTGCTAGGTTGAGAGTGGTTTTCCAAAGTAAAGTGCTGTGCAAAAGTTTTAGGCCCCTAAGCAAATCTCAACAGTAAAAATAAATACAATAAAAAGTAACAAAAAGTCATGTTTTCAAAAAAGTAGTCTTTAAATATATACCAGCATCTACAACACAGGGGGTTCTAATACAGTTCTCAGTGAGTATACATATACGCAGACTAGATGGCAGCACAGCTGTAATTAATCTCTGTTGTCACAACATCAGCTTATCCTAAAAAAAATCCCAAAATAGCCCCTAAAAGGAAGAGGCTCCCCCTGTTGGTGTCAAGTGCTCTACTCTTTTCCTTTTACTCATATGGTATATGGGAAATCCTTCATTTCATTCACCTGATCTGGTGTTTGTAGCAGTAGAGCTGTGAGATTAAGACTCCTTGAAGCTGTACTTTCAGCTCTGTACCCGTGGTTAGTATTTACACGTACAAAGGGTCTGTATGTGTTCCTACACTTTGAAGCCCAATCCCATTTCACCCCCAACCCCTACCACTTAGCCCTACCCCTTTGTTTTGTGCATTTATGTCTAGGGGTAAGGTGTCCCAATTGTTGTTGAGATAGAGGGGTAGGGTGAAGTGTTAGGGCTACATGGCCCTCCAAACGGAGGTTTTTCAGAGGCACAGTCCAAACAGAGTGTGAGTATTTTCTCTGTTTAAAACATATAATAACAACTGTATTATCTTAGTTTAATGTCATTTCAATGTATTATGGTCCTTTTCTTCATAACAAGCAGTTACAGCAGTTACATTCAGGCACCTCAGGTGTCAGAACTGCTGCACTATTTAAGGTGGAACGGGGAAAATTCGAATGAGAAGCTGGCGAATAGCCGACTTCAGCTTCATATTACTGAAGAATTAGAGGTGGGTGATAATAAATAATTGCCCCCCCTCTTTAAAGGCATATGATTCCCTAAATGTAACTAAAGCCCAGCAGTGAGGAGCTGAACTTTACCCTCCTCTGCTGTCACTGCAGACTGGCAGGGTCGCCTACAGAGCAGCGCTAGTAGCTGTTAATGAAGTGATGCTCTTTTTATTTGAGGGTGACATTTCATAGGGGATGATTTCAACCACTACCTCTTGTAATGCAGTTCCAAGGGGCAAAGTGACACTCAAAAACAAGGAGTAAGGGTAAACTAATTAGGATTGGGCCTAATTCTTGACTCTCATAACTACGTAACATACAGTCCTGTGCAGAAGTCAGAGACCATCCTTCATTTATTTAATTTCCACTCAAAATGGAAAGCACTTTAATCTTCAGCAGCATAAAAACAGAAAACATTTATTTAACAGAAAAGTGTCCACTCTTTACTCTTTACTTTAGAGTTGCCTCCAAAGTTCAGTCTTAGAAGCTGGTTGATCATTTTCTGAAGTAATCGAACACATTCAGTGGTGTTGAGGTCTGGACTCTGGGGTGGTCAGCCCATTGGTCAGCTTCTTTGTTTGATGTGTCCGTCTCCTTTTCTCAGTGAGGTTCTTCTTGACAGCTACACATCCTTTCAGACCCACAGCGCTGAGTCGTCTTCTCACAGTGGAAGGATGGACAGAAGCACCTGTGGGTGTTTTCAGATCTGAAGCAGCTTGATTTTCTCCTCTCTCTCAAAGATGAAAGCTTTGTGCTGTTTATCTGATGGGGGGCAGTGTTGGTGGTCTACCTGGTGCTGCACAGTTGTTAGGAGTCCCTTTTTTCATAAATATCTCCTGAATAATGAATAAATTGTACTTAATGGCTGTTTGACTGGAAATGACTGGAAATTATTGGTGGTCTCTGACTTTTGCACAGTGCTGTACATATTTGGTTCACAATAGTACTGAATAATTTATAGTAGCTGCTGAATAATGAGTCTTAAGATTGATTACTGAAGAATAAGTGGTAGTTTAAGGGGTTAAGCTCTTAATTGGAGTGCCTCTTAAAGAGTCACTAGAGTTGTTTTTGTGGAAAAAGCACTTTATTATTTTTGCCAAACACTTTAACATGATGATATGTTGCCTTTGGGTGTCTCAGGATACTTTTTTCTGACTCCGGCCTTGTGGTTTCTTGGGTGTGTCATTGTTTACACTGCCAAACGCGGGCGTCAGGCATGGGCAGCAGAATGGGAGGTGGCAAATGAATGTTTTTAGACGAACGGTTCTGTGAATGACAGCCCATGAGCACCAGCTGTGCCTCTACAGCATTAATGAACATGTTTTCATCATCTAATTCATACAGAGATGAAGCCCAAAGGGTGCAGCAAAGCTTTCATCCACAGCTTGTATTGTTGTGGCCAAATCATATTATCACTAATTATCAGCTTCTGCGGTGAAACGTCAGTCACTTGTTGTCACTGGGATGGAACCGTCCACTGATGTGGCCCTTAGGGACCGGTGCTAATTACTAGCCTGACTGCGCTCATTCTGAAGTGGAAAGAGACGTTTGTGCACCAATGTGATCAAAAGCCTTATTGAAGCTGTGTGAGGTTGTTGGTCATGATTTTCCATTTTCTTTCCAACTGTGCGAGCTGTTGTCCCGTGTCCAGCTCACTAGTTACATTAGCACCAAGGTCGAACAACGTCATTCGAAATCTGCCTTCTCTTTCAGCTCATTAAAGAAAATGCACGTGGATTAGAAAGGACACGTTCCCATTTCGGATTTTAACTGAAAACAAATTTTACTGTGTTTCAAATATATACTTAACGTTAATGTTGAGCCAAAGCATTATGGACACCTGCATAATATGCTGTTGGTCCACCAAAACAGCTCTGATCATCAGTTTGGATTCTACAAGACCTCTAAAGGTGCTCTGTGGTATCTGGCACCAAGATCCGTAAGCTGTGAGGTGGATCTGCCGTGGATCGGACGTCTTGTTCCAGCACGATGTGAGTTGCAGTGTGCATTATTCTGCTGACAGAGACCACCACCACTGGGGAATACCACTATTGTGAAGGGACCTCACAACAGGTAGGTGGCATGTGCCGGACCCAGGGTTTCCCAGCAGAAATCAGAGCATCATACTCCCTCCACCAGCTTGTCTTCTTCCCTCAGTGCATCCTTGTCGCGTCACTTCAACGGGTAAACAGCGCACGCTTATCTGGCCGTCCATGTGACGTAAAAGAAAATGGGACTCATCAGACCAAGCGACCCTTCTTCCATCGCTCCAAGGTCCAGTTCTGACATTTGTGTGCCCCCTTTCGACCTTGACATGCAGTTAATCTGTGAGTGGTCATAATGTTTTGGCTCATCAGTGTGGCAATATACTGTATACTGATACTAAAGATGTAAGAATAGAATGTCGCTGCTGTCGGAACTGCTGTGGCTGTTTTTTCAAGTGTGGCGCTGGTAGTGCACTGCGATGTGCATTGTCTATTATGCTTCTGGTTGATCTAATTCAGCACTTTACAAGTTCTGTGTTATTAGGTTAAATTTCCACACTTAAGGTTTCTTAAGACAGTATTGCTGAGAATATAGACTATTTTACTGTCCTGTTGAGGCTCCAGAGCTGAATTAGATTTGTAGGTAAAAATAAAATAATCCTCCTTTACAGTAAAATAAAGCTCTGCTGGTCATTCAACACAGTTTAACAATAAATGATCTTAAACGCTGGAGTTAATGTAGAACTGCTAATTCACATTGTAACCTTGAAGACTGGTGCGCAGACTGCTGGTCACCATAGCAACGCAGATAACAATCTCGCCTAGCTAGTAGCTAACGAAACAGCAAAGAGAGAGAGATTTAAGTTGGTTTCCTGATACGTTTAATCTGCAACGAGAAACTGTCCAACACTAAAAAGTCATGAAGCTGTAGTCAGCTTCTCATTCGCCAACTTCTTGTTTGAAATTTCCCGTTCCACCTTAAATGCCGCAGTAGTTACATTCCAGCACCTCAGGCACCGTTTAAGGTGGAACGGGAAAATTTAAACAAGAAGCTGGAGAATGAGAGGCTGACTTCAGCCCTGTGAAAAAACTTTTCAAGAAACTGTTCTACTTTTATGGAAAAGTTTCCTGCTGGAGATGCGAGAAAAGTGGCTATAGCTCAGCTAATGCTTGAAGAAGAACAAAGTAAGTCTGCGTTTTTTATTATATTTTTTAGCTTATACTAGCACATCAGCACATACTGACACAGGTGTACAGCCAAGATGGTAAAATGGACATAAATGTTGTGGCTCCCAAGCTGGATTGACTTTTGCTGAAAAGACAAAATGGCTCCTCTCAACATTTGGGTTTCGACCTCTGGGCTATTAAAATTAAGAGTTGCAATACAACAGTTCTTAATATTTTAGCCATTGTTGTAAAAGTCTGGTACCTTGGTGCAAAGCACATTTAATTTAATCCCTTACACGGCCAGGGCCCGAAGTTTTATTACACCCAACTAAGAACCAGTTTGCATTGAAGTCCCTGTAGTTACTGAATAATAAGCCTTCGTATGTAATAAATCAGAGATTTGAAGGGGTTAATACAGTTGCAAGTTGTTTGAAACAAACAAGCTTTTTAAACCAAAATACATAAAAACATATTCATCTACATAAATATGATCAAAACATATTTTATCTACATGACACCGATAGTATGTCTCTGATGAATCTGTATAGAAATAAATGCAAAAAAAGACTGGTTTGAATTATTATGGGTGGAGGGATCTCTCATTGTTTACTGTGGAAGGCTCAGTTGTAACACTGCATTAAATCTAACCGCCTCTCACTGTGACTTATTTATATGCTTTAAAATGGTGCTGTATTACAGCCATGAAGAGGGAGATTAAAATAATAAATGACTGAATTCTGTGTCTTATACACATAATCAAAAACACTTATGATAAAAAAATATATATATATACTTTTACGATGTAAAAACAGCTCTTAGGGTGTATCTGAAGAAATATCTGTCCAACTGCTGCCACAACTCACAGATGTCAGGGCTTGAAGCAAAGCATGTTCTGCTTGAAGCAGTATAATTCATAAACGTGTTGCATTTTACCATGAATTAGCTCTGAGCAGCTCCACCCCTTTTACTTTGTGTTGCGCTACGAGACACTGAGTGCGTTTACATGCACTTAGTAATCCGATAACTGCAGGCAATTAGATTTTGTCAGTAATCCGACCAACGCGTTTACACACATTTGAGTAATCGGATAATGTGGAAACTCCAGGAGTCAGGCAGTAATCAGATTTCTACTCACAGAAGAAGACGTGACATAAAAGTAAAGTAAAACTCAAACTTCATGCTGCAACCTTTTTTAAAAACATTGCGCCACTTTACCTGAAAATAAGAACATACATCATCTAGAAGATAAATAATTTTGAAATCCCTTATTCTGTCAAGCATGTTTTTGGTTTCAGCGTTGCTCCGAAAGTGTTTTGCTGCGTCTCGCGGTAACACAGCTGCTTATTTCCGGTACAGCAGTCTGTTTTCACACATGCACAGACTGAGAAATCTGAAAGAAATCAGAGTAAGAGTTCACATGCACTGAGAAATCTGATTACTGAGCTGACATCCAGCTCTCTTTATCAGATCTGTTAATCGGATCTCTAGACCTTACTCCGATCTAAGAAATCAGGGTTTATGCTGTTTACATGACCATTTGAATAATCAGATTCCTGCAGAAATCTGATTATGATTGGATTATGGAGTGCATGCACTGCAAAAAAGGTATCTTGTCAAGTAAAATTATCTTAAATGTAGTCAATAAATGTAATATTTTTCCTGTTGAGATTGCTGTAAACTCAATTTAAGATTTTTAAACTTATTTCTAGACATTTTTTACTTGTTTTAAGTGATTTTATTATGTAAAATTATCTCACTACATTGGCAGATTATTTTGCTTGTTTTACGAAATGTGCTTGAAACCAGCAAAATTATCTGCCAGCATAGTGAGATAATTTTACTCTATAAAATCACCTAAAACAAGTAAATAATGTATAGAAATAAGCTAGATAATCTTATAATCAGTGCACAGCCATCTCAAGATTGGGAATATTAGATATATTAGCTAGTTTTTAGATCATTTCACCTGAAAAGATGCTATTTTTTGCAGGGTATAGATGCACTCAATGTCTGTTAACACCATACACAAGGATGGACTGACCCTAAATCATACACACTACCTTAATTCATAGTATACATATATTTTTTTAACTTTGACACTTGTGAATATACTACATACTGACCGATACTGTAGGAGTGTTTAGTGAAAAAGTGGGACGCTGCATTAGTTTCAGTCTGAATGATGCGTTCTAGTACTCGCAATTTCCTGTAGGTCCTTCGGTTCTTTCTGCCAGTGCTGTAACCCTCAGAGCGTCCTGCAGAGCGTCGAGTCCGGCAGCTTTCCTCCCCTCCGCTTCTCCCCTGCCTCCAAAGGCCATGTGTTTTAGATTGCTGTGTTGCCGTGACAACTATCTCCCTGCGAGCCGTAGTCATGGACACAAAGGGTCCTTGATGATCCCTAAGGGATGGCTCAGAATTAGGCCTCCACAAAGAAGACAACATATTCCAGCATTAAAAAACGCTAAAATTAAAAGAATGTGTTGCGACAGCTATTACTCAGTGTTTGGGCAATGCTGGATAGCCAGTTGCCAGGAGTTTATGCACTGGCCCATGGTCAGGCACGAGTAAACACACTCAAACAAATTCTCAGCTCTTCACGAGTTTGTGGAAAGCATTTTTTAATTTTGCCATCGACATTTCTTCCCAGTTGTAAGTCAGCAGTGGTAGATGGGGCCGCAGCATGGAGTGAAGTCAACTTTACTGTGTTTTTCTTTGCTTTCATTGGCATGTTATGATGTGGGCAGCATTTCCGCACATTAAGTCATTGCGAATGGTAGGCTTGAGGTTCTGGTATGGGAGTGTGTAGCAATCAGGAGCAGGCCGTGCCAATTCAGACCAAAGCAGCGCGAGTTTTTGTTGAATTTCAGTAACAATTGATTTACCATTTGGCAGCTTGAAGGGGAATTCACTGATTTCCAAAACATAATTGAATTGTTAGGATGTAAACAAAGTCATTCGGAGTAGATCTGAAATGCTTCATATGACTCAGGTTTCTTTACAGTGCTGGTGATAGGAAGCAGGGTTTGGATTCACAACAGCTTTCCTAAGAAAGAACTTGAAAAGGTTCAAAAGACGAACACGAAGAAGTTCATAAGAATGTTCTTAAACGCAATTCTTGAAAAAAACTTAAGTTCTTAAATGTTCTCTTAAGATAATCTCAATTATTTTCTCGTGATTTAAGAAACTTGACTTAAGAAAATCTTCACTGTTTTCTGTAGTATGCTTTCTGTTAATCCACTCAGAGGAGCAAAACGGAGGAAAAACATCAAACCAAGCATTTAAAAAATTAGCAAACAAGATCTAAAGGTGACGGTGGAAGAAACAGCCAATATTAAAAAAATTATGATAATTGTTGGGTGACGGACGAGGACGGGCAGGAGAGCAGGGGCAGCGTCCATGATACATTTAGATGCTGACCTTGTCAACTGAAGTGTGAGACTGTTGTAAGGTTAAGAAACCACTTGTTCTTAGAATTATTCTGAAGAAAATATCTTAAGAAAAGAAAATAAGAGAATTCTTAAGAAGTTGTTTGAAGAATAAAAAAATTTTTTCTTAAGAAAAACGAAGATTTTCTTTCTTAAGACACTTTCGTGAATCCGGCCCGAGGGGTCACAGTGTGTACAACACAGATATAGCCATTTTATTTATTATGAAAACCACCGACACAGGTCTTCTGTGTTTTTATAAGTGATAGTGATAATGGTAAAAAGTGGTAAACATAAATAAAAAGTATTCTTTGGTATTATTTTGCCTTACAATGGCCTGTAGCTGTTTGCTGTGAATGAAATTAAAGAAATGTTTGAGTCTCAAAACTATCGTATAACAGTTACACAACCACTTCATATAATAATTTTCTGCAAGGGCGCATTTAGAGGTGGACGTCTGGTTCCTATCACCACTACTGTGGACGATTTTGACTCTTTCTCTAGAACGAAGCATTTCACACCAAACCACTCTGAATGACTTTGTTTGCAACATAATGTTTTAATTATACAGACATTTTGAAAAATCTGTGGAATTCTCCTTTAATGAAACAGTTGTTCATGAACTGATGTTTAGTCTTGAAAAACACATATTAGTAAGTAGTGCTAGTAGTCACTGATGTCGTGTCACTGCTTTTTGTCACTGGAAGAAATCCATGAACTTTAAAGGTGCAGCTGTGTGATATTATGTCAGCCTCAGAGCTTTGGTTGAACACTGAATCACTGGCTGTCCATAATGTCACGCTTATCTCTCTCTCTCTCTCTCTCTCTCTCTCTCTCTCTCTCTCTCTCTCTCTCCCAGCATCAATGACTGCCATGATGAGAAAGAACCAAACTCTCACCTCATGGGACGTGAACATGCCCCTCCAGACCAAAACCACAGCAGCAGCAGCAACAACAGCAGTACCAGCCCCAGCCGGCGGCGCTCCAGCTCAGAAAACTCCCGCTCCACCTTCAGCCTCGCCCGCCAGCTCTCCTGTAAGTCCAGCACTGTCTGTAAACGGTACCTGTGGACGATTTTATTATCGTTTTTGGGTGTTGGAATGTTTCTGAGGGCACTTTTGTCAACATTTTCATAGCTGATTTTGTGTTAGTTCAGTTCATTTGTTCCATGTTTTTTGATCTTTAACACATCAGGCAAAATAATAACCTTTGCTTTGTTTAAGAATTTTTAACCCTAAGAAATCTATAGATACTGATTTTGTTGTGCTATGAAATGCAATTATGTGATTATATAATTAATTACATTGAGTGTGTTCACATGCACTCGATAATCCAATCATAATCGGATTTCTGCAGTTATCCGTTTATTCAAATGGTCGTGTAAACGGCATACTGCAATTTCTTAGATCGGAGTTAGGTGTAGAAATCCGATTAAGAAATCTGATAAAGAGAGCTGGATTTTAGCTCAGTAATCAGATTTCTCAGTGTGAACTCTTACTCTGATTTCTTTCGGATTTCTCCGTCTGCGCATGTGCGAAAACAGATGACAGCACCAGAAATAAGCTAGCAGCGTTTCCACGAGATGCAGCAAAACACTTTTTGGAGCGAAATTGAAACTAAACACATGCTTGACGAGATGAAGGATTTAAATATTCTTCATCTTCTAGATGATGTCTGTTCATATTTTCAGGTAAAGTGGCGCGATGTTTTTAAAAGGCATGAAGTTTGAGTTTTGTTTAAAGTTTACATCACATCTTCTTCTGTGAGTTTATTGGCTGGTTGTAAAGCAGAAATCTGATTACTGTCTGACTCCTGATGTACACCTGGAGTTTCCCATTATCTGATTACTCAAGTACATGTAAACGTGTTGATTGGATTACTGACAAAATCTGATTTTCTGCAGTTATCAGATTATTAAGTGCATGTAAATGTAATACAGCTGTTCAATCTCTCTTCTACCTCTCTGACCTCTCAGCTCTGGAAGCCCGGCGGCCCAGCTCCCCTCTGGTGGACATGAAGCCCATCGAATTCTGGGCGATGGGTCCCAGGAAGGAGGTGGTGCAGCCCCTGCGTAAGCCGCAGACCCCGCCAGACGACTACTTCCGCAAGCTGGAGCCACGGCTGTACTCGGTGGACTCCGGCGGGGATGATGTAGACTCTCTGACGGACGAGGAGATCCTGCTGCGCTACAAGCTGGGCATGCTGCACTTCAGCACCCAGTACGACCTCATCAACGGCCACCTGAGCGTGCGGGTCATCGAGGCACGTGACCTGCCTCCTCCGCTCACCTGCGATGGCGCCAGGCAGGACATGGCACACTCCAATCCCTACGTCAAGATGAGCCTGCTGCCTGACCACAAAAACTCACGGCAGACTGGCGTCAAGCGCAAGACCCAAAACCCAGTGTTTGAGGAGCGTTTCACCTTCGAGCTGCCCTTTCTTGAGGCCCAGCGCAGGACCCTGCTGCTGTCCATCGTCGACTTTGACAAGTTCTCACGACACTGCGTAATTGGAAAGGTGGTGCTGCCTCTCAGTGAGGTGGATCTGGTGAAGGGGGGGCACTGGTGGAAGGCACTGGTGCCCAGCTCTCAGGTAACCCTGATAAACGTGTTAATGCCTCTTATTTAAATTTCTGTCGTTTGTTGATTATTTTTTTTATCATATACTGTAGCGCTGACAATGGCCCATATCCCATTTCACCCTTCGCCCCTACCACTTAGCCCTGCTCCTCAGTTTTGCGTGTTCACGTCTAGAGGTAGGGTGTCCCGATTGTTGTTGAGATAGAGGGGTAGGGCAAAATGTTAGGGCTACATGACCCTCCAAACTGAGGTTTTTCAGAGGCTCCAAACAGAGTGTTATGAGAAAAAAAGAAAAAACAGCAAGATGGCTGAACAAACGAACCCCGAAATGTGAGAATTTTCTCTGTTCAAATTACGATTATCATTGTATTATCTCAGTTGAATGCCGTTTCAATGTATCATGGTCCTTTTCTTCATGAGACACTTAAAAATCACTGATAATATGCTGATGTCTCAGTATTCAGCTAGTTAACTTTCCCATTCTACCTTAAATCAGCAGTTCTGATGCCTCAGGCACCAGAATGTAACAGCTTCACCATTTAAGGTGTAATGGAGAAATCTGAACAAGAAGCTGGTGAATAGCTGACTTCATCTTCATATCACTGAAGAATTAGTGGTGGGTGATAATAAATAATTGTCGCATCCCAATCTTTGAAACTATATGATGCCCTAAATGTAACTAAAGCCCAGCAGTGAGGAGCTGAACTTTACCCTCCTCTGCTGTCACTGCAGACTGGCAGGGTCGCCTACAGAGCAGCGCTGGTAGCTGTTAATGAAGTAATGCTCTTCTTTATTTGAGGGTCCCATTTCGTAGGGGTCGATTTCAACCACTACCCCTTGTAACTCACTTTTAAGGGGCAAGGGGGCATTCAAAAACAAGGGAAATAAGAAATGGGATTGGGCCTGAGACACAGAGATAGCCATGCTTCTGCTGGGAGAAGTGCTTTGTATTTAACACACTGCCAGAAAGAGCACTGAAACCATGGGGGAGGACACCACTAACCACATGCTTCACCCTGATGGTAACCAACCCTCAACACAAATCCCACAGAACAACACAAGTAACACATACACATATAACTATAACTGATTAACTACAACAATAATCATGCAAATAGTCCCTTTTTTGGATGGCGCACGCATATCGTGAGCCTTTGCGTGTGGTCATCTGCCTAGCCACACCTCCAGAGTGTCTCGGTGCTACATTTTTTCATCACATGCTTGCATCAAACTGCATTTCAAATAGACTCACTGTGTGGTTTCTGAGACTATATGTAACACTGTTACCTATAAAATGAACAGAAGTACTTCGCTGGCCGCAGTAGCCACCTTGAGGCTAGTTTTTGTTTGCATTTTGTCTATTTTTGCATAGAACAGAGAAAAATGCATCGCATTTCTCTGTAATAGTCACAGCAGCAGGTCAGCAGCTACCTATTTCAAATAAAGTGATGTGCCCGTTCGCTTCACTGCGCTCTAGTCCCCCTGGTCGTCTTTTCAAATAATACTGGGCTTAACGTTTTTATTAAATTTCGAAAGCTTAGCACTACATAAACCCCGCAGATGTTGTGGCCGGGGGTCGAAGTCTTTATCACTCTTACAGTTTCTAAGAAACTGAAAGACCTGTTTGGAAAACTGGAACAGCTGTAGGCTCTGGGGATTTTTGTCAGGTTCATGATATTTTCCATTATCATCTTGCTCAAAAGCTTCATTTCAGGCCAAAATAAAATGTCTGTTGGATTTTCCTGCATGCGATCGTGGAGATTACTGTCTGTTGGATTTCAAACTCTGTATGTCAGACTGGGACCTAAGTGATTTCCACAGTGTTATGTTGCACAGAATGAAGTGGAGCTTGGTGAACTCCTGCTGTCCTTAAACTACTTGCCCAGTGCTGGCAGGCTGAATGTGGACGTCATCAGGGCCAAGCAGCTGCTGCAGACTGACATGTGCCAAGGCTCAGGTACTGCTCACCCGTTCTCTTCCGCTCTTCTGTGCCTCCATTTATCACTACTAAGGTTCTACACTGCAAAAAGTAATATCTTAACAAGTGAAAACTTCTTAAATGTAGTCAATAAACTTTATATTTCTCATTATGAGACTGTTGTAAGAATATTATAAGATTATTCCACCTATTTCTGAACATTTTTACTTGTTTTAAGTGATTTTATTTAGTGAAGGTATCTTATTCCATTGGCAGGTTGCTTTAAATGTTTCAAGAATTAATGAAGATAATTTTGCTTATTTCAAGAAATAATGCTAAAAACAAGTAACATGATCTGCCAGTGGAATAAGACACGTTCGATAATCTCATAATAAGAAACATTAGATATATTCACTACATTTAAGACGTTTACACTCTGCATCAGTGACTCTGCCCCAGTTTTCAGCGAGCTTGGTGTCAGTGTTAATTGTGGCTATATACTGAGACTGAGCACAGAGTGCACGATGTGCCTTAATGCGACCGCAGTATGCACCCATAATTCGCCTGAAAGTAACATTCGATTTACTAAGACTGCAACTTATTATGCAAACTGAGCGAAGCTCTGCCTTACAACTTTGCGCCGGGATTTAAAGACACAGTGAAGTAATGAAGCTGTGAACAAGCTCGAGACAAAACAGAAAATAAAAGTTCAGTGACGATGAGTGTTAATGTATTATGTTCTTTCCTGCAAAAAACATTCCACAGCAGTGTTATTTTACTCCAGCTACAAAAAAACAGCGTTTGTGAAACCGTAACAGACTCTGAGCGCATATATCAGCCGTATTACAGCATATTTTCTGCTGTGTCTTCTTACACACATTCATCTGGTCCTAAGTTTCAACTGTTCCTCTGATTGTAAATATTTTTCAACATGCGTTCGAATGTCGTGCCATATGCTGCCATCATTAAAGGGGCCAAGAATACCTTTATTCTGCATTTGAAATTGTTCTCTGATGTCTAAATAGACGGAATGTGACTTTGGTTGGGGTAAAAAATGTCCAGATGCTGTTTTACACACCCATTTACGGCCTATGATTTCGCCCTAGAATTAAACAAACTGTTTTCCCTGTTTTGGGGGCTCATTAATAATTTGATGAGCTCTGCTTTGATTGGCTGGTTCACAGTGAGGCACCGTGACTCACATAGAAGCAACATGTTCAAATAGACACAAGCAGGAAAATAAAATGAAACACTGTGTAAATAAGCTAGGCCATCATACTGTTTAGTTAGCGATGCTAGTTACTTTGAGCTTGCTAGTAGCTTACGTTACCTGTACTAGCTATTGCTTTCAATCTCAACAACAACACAAAGTCTGTTAAAGTTGTTAGCTCACTATAAAACTTCCAGTTTAAGATGATCTGACTTCAACCTCAAACAGTGGATATAATCCCACAGCATGGCTAATTACAAGTTGCATTTGGGTTGTGATGCTTATAACGTTAACTAATAAAATTCCCGTCTCTTCAGTGTGAAGCACTGAGCGAAGCTGATCTATGTTGTCCGAGCTTTGAGAAACTGTCCGGAGTGAAATGCGCAGAGCAAACTAACAGCTTCGAAGTAAAATTGTCTGGGATCCTGTAAGAGATGTGGGAGCGAACGGTGGCTTCATATTCACCAGCTTGTTTTGGCACCGCAGTTACATTCTTTTCAAGCTGTAGCATTTAAGGTGGAATGGAACATTCGATTAAGAAGCTGGCAAATAAGAAGTCGGCTTCAGCTGCATTTAGGGATAAACATCAGCCATGCCCGTTGACCTTGGTTGGGCCTTCAGAGAAGTGCTCCCCTTCACTGCCTGGAATGGTACCTTTCTGTACTTAGTCCAACATTTTCTTGGTGTTGGTTTACATATGTTGTTGTATGTAAATTTTGAGGGCGTAAATGTTAATGATTCAAGCCTGTTATGTAACAGTTTAGGATTTTGGAACTGGCCTGTACCTTTTGCGAATGCAGGATTTTTAATTGAAGGAGGAGAAAACAGTGTTTGAGGTTCACAGTATGTCAGTTCTATGTTCCAAGCTCTCCTTATTCAACTATGCCAATGTAAATACAGTTTTCCATCCTATGGCACCTTTAAAGTAAGTTGTCCGGCTTGCAGCTGAAACTGTTGCGAAAGGTTTAGTAGATCAGGCCTGAAGGGGCGATGAGAACATGGGATGTTTTGGAATCTTCTACTCTGTAAATCACTGAAGTGAATGAACCTCTATTCATATTAAAAATAATACAAAGACAGTGAAACACTGGATTATAAGGAAGACGTAATATCTAGTTTTGTTAACCCATTAAACTACAGTTTCATTACTTGGTTGGTAAGTTTAAGTCTTATATAGTTTATGTAGTTATGAGGAATGCAGGCCCTTGAAGGTTAAGGGGGTTTTATCTAATTGAATTGTGCCCCTGTTTCACTCCCCAACTGTGTAGCAGTCAAATCCTGCTGTTTGATATGTAGTAGATGTGAAACTTTTGCTTTCTAAACTTTGTTTCAGATCCCTTTGTGAAAGTGCAGCTGGTGGCAGGTCTGAAATTGGTGAAGACTAAGAAGACATCATGCATGAGAGGCACCATCGACCCCTACTACAACGAGTCCTTCAGCTTCCGGGTACCTCAAGAGGAATTGAGTGAGGTTAGCCTCGTGTTCACAGGTATCGCCTTCACACAGAAACATACTCACTACACATAACATGGGTGAAAGCAGCAATTCAGTGCAGAGTTCTCCCCAAACGTGGTCTATTAACCTAGACATGTTCGGTCTCCAAAGTTTGCTTATTTAGGTTTGCACTGGAGCTCCAAGCTCATGTGGCTCAGTAATGAAAGCTCACATCCAACACTGCAAAAAATAAGATCTTAACAAGTGAAAACTTCTTAATGTAGTCAATAAATGTAATATTTCTCATTATGGGACTGTTGTAAGAATATAATAAGATTATTCCACCTGTTTCTGTACATTTTTACTTGTTTTAAGTGATTTTATTCAGTGAAAGTGTCTTATTCCATTGGCAGATTGCTTTACATGTTTCAAGAAAAAATAAAGATAATTTTGCTCATTTCAAGAAATAATGCTAAAAACAAGTAACATGCTCTGCCAATGGAATTAGACACTGTTATAAGATAAAGCTGCTTAAAAACAAGTAAAAATGTCTCTAAGTAAGTTGAATAATCTCACAATATTCTTACAACAGTCTTATAATGAGAAATATTAGATATATTGACTACATTTAAGATGTTTACACTCACTAAGATATCATTTTTTATAGTGTACCAATTAGCATTATACTAAATGAATGCCAATCTAAAATAGAATTACTTATGTGGTTTCTGACACTGAATGAGATACTGTAGCCTTTAAAAATGGACATTTAGGCATGCCATTTGACTGTGATCAAGTATGTAAAATAAGGGGAAAAATTGCAAATTCGATTTTTTTTTCACAAGCTATCGCTTTAATTCAGATGGATTCCTGGCTGTAAACACTTGAGAGTGCCTGATAAAGTAATCCTGTCATCTTTGTGAAGAGATCAAACCCTTAGACCTCTGAGGAAAAGCTCTCATTAATTAAGCAGGCTGTGTTTTTGACCTCAGAGTGACACAACATCCCACTGCTTACTTAATTGGGCCCAAAAGTCAAAACAAAAGCAATATAAGCCATCCTGTAGGGGGAGAAAGCCACCCTGAGATGTTGACAGGTTTCAGCGAGCGACACCTTCCAGGTCCTCGCCATTAGAGTAAGGCGGGTGGTGACCTGGCTCTGCCACGCGAGCCCTCATTAGGCTTCATTTAAATGCCAGCTGCATTTACTTGATTACGGGGGCTGCCAGTCAGGCCGTAAGCCGGACCGTGGCTGGGGTCGAGCTGCTGCGCTCTCGCACACTCTGGCATTTAGGATTTGTGGCCAAGAATCTGCTTCCACCTGTCACGTAGATGAACCCCCGCCCTGGGATCTCCCCAAGCAGAGTGTGATCTGTTCTTTTAACCCGCTGTTTGCTAGTAGGACAGAGCGTTGAGCTATGATGGGCCTGGGGCTCTAAGGCTATGCAGCCCAACTCATGCAGCTTTGCCATTTCCATTATGACCTTTCAGGTTCATTGAGGGTGGTGTGTAGTGGTAGCACTGGTTGCATTGTTCTTCATGGCTCTCTGTGCCCAGTATAGCAATAGCCATGTTTACGTGCAGCCTGATAATCTGTTCATAATCCAAGTAATAGCTCAATCGGAATAGTCTAGACCGATCGAGGCCATCCGGAATACAATATCTATCCGATTAAACGAGGTGGGTAATCCTGTAAATAAATACATGTGGTGCAGTCTTTTAGATGTACAGGCAGCGTAGCTGTTCTTACTAAATATCATTTACTGTGGCCCTCCGTGGTCTCCGCACGTCATACCTTCATGAAAAACAATTCTTTAAAATCTTTTGGATGCGGTATGTCTGGCGTGCAGTGGCCTTCAGGCCCTCTCGGTCAGAAACTGATGACCCTTGCAGCAGAAGGCATGAATGGCTCTTGGTGACTCAGCCCCTGGTGTAGTGCCCTGAGCCATGCAGAGCAGCATGTGGCCCAGGGCTCCATGCCCACCGACTTTCTCTGATGTTCTTGACTACAAAGCCTGCAATCAAACACCAAGCACTGCTCTCCATCTCCCCCCGCTGGGCCTGCGTCTCGCTCTCTCTCCACACGTTTGATCAGCTCCTCTTTCGCTATCTCTCCTCCTCCTTTATATATATATATTATCTCCCTTTACTTCTCCCATTCTCTTTTCCTATCACTCTATCCTCTCTGACTTATCTCACCCTCCTTCCTCACTCTCCACACTCTCCAGCAGGTAATAGGCCTTTAATGATGCCTTTTTTCCCCCCATATGCTGTCTGATGTGCTGAGTGGAAACAGACGTCCTCCTGGCCAAGCTGAACCTGGCGCCCATCAGTCCGGTCAGACAGAAGGGGGAATGAGGCTGACCACTGATAGGGGATTGGGGCTGACCTTTGATGGAGGACTGAGACTGACCACTGAAAGGGGAATAGGTCTGACCTCTGAAGCAAGAATGAGACAGACCACTGAGGGGGCGAAAGGTCCTGGCCACTGACAAAAAACACTTCTAGACTTTGATTTCAATGAGATCATTACACTGACGTACAGTAGATGCCCACATGTGGCATTGTGCCCAAATTATACACTGTTGTCAATTCACATTATACTATGGTGTAACTATACAATAGGAGACAATCTGGGGTCGGGCTTCATTTCAGTGTTGGGGCAGATGGAGGAGAAACTAATCACTGCTAGAAGCTGTTTGAACGTCTTGTTGGAATCCCAGCCCTTTTTCCTTTGTTACAAGATGATGCAATTAACACAGTCCTTACTGCCTCGGCGCACCCTCACAAGCACCCAGCAGCTACTGGAGAAGGAAGAGTGTGTTCATTGTAGTAGCCGTGTGGAGACGCTGACCAGACTTTCAGGATTCACTCTGGCCACAGCGGAGTTTACAGCTGCTCAGGAGAGAAGGATCTGTCTGCAGACTGCAAGACAGGGGCAGAACATGTAGTGAGGGGGCTGCTCTGGCGGTTGACGAATCAGAGCACACTGGGCTCATTGGGAGGTGGGGCTTAAAGACACGGGAGCACTAACAGAGACAGAAAGTCAATAGAGATGAACAGTATGAAAAAAATAATGTGTTTTTGGAAAAAGTAGACCCCAAAAATAATATTCTAAACTTTGAAAATAAGCACAGTAGGTCCCCCTTCAACTTATGGTGGTTTGAAATGGTTCGAGACCAAACATGGCTGATCGTGTACAATCCCATTTCCCCCCTCGCCCCTACCACTTAGTCCTACCGCCCCATTTTGAGCATTCTAGGGGTAGGGTGTCCTGAATTCTAGAGGTAGGGCGAAGTGTTGGGGCTACATGGCCCTTCAAACGGAGGTTTTTCAGAGTCACTCCAAACAGTGTTATGAGAAAAAAAGAAAAACTGGCAAGATGGCTGCACAAGTGACCATAGAAACCAAGAAATTTGAATATTTTCTCAGTTGAAAAATTACAATAGCCATTGTTTTAATGTAGTTTCAATGTATTATGGTCGTTTTCTTCATAACAAGCATAAAAAATCGCTAGTATTATGCTGATGTCTCGGTAGCTAGCTAGCTAAATTTCCTGTTCCACCTTAAATGGTGCAGCAGTTACATTCTGGCACCACAAGCATCAGAACTGCTGCTCCATTTAAGGTGGAATGGGAAAATTCGAGCAAGATGCTGGAGAATATCCGACTTCAGCTTCATATCACTGAAGAATTAGGGGTGGGTGATAATAAATAATTGTCCCCCTCTTTGAAGGCATATGATGCTCTATTTGTAACTAAAGCCCAGCAGTGAGAAGCTGAACTTTACCCTCCTCTGCTGTCACTGCAGACTGGCAGGGTCGCCTACAGAGCAGCGCTAGTAGCTGTTAATGAAATAATGTTCTTTTTTACTTGAGGGTCCCATTTCGTAGGGAAGATTTCAACCACTACCCCTTAACTCAGTCCCGAGGGGCAAGGAGACACTTTAATTTTTCATTTGCTTTAACAATTTCACAAAACAACAAGAAATATCCTTGTGAAAGCCTTAGGCCAGAAACATGCTTATCACAAACACGCAAATGCAAATGCAAAGTTTAGTCAGCGCGTTCCAAACGCTCAGCCCTGCTTTACAAACTCTCGTTACTGTGGCGGTCAACCCCTTAAATAGTGGCCAGGGCGCACCGACGGGCCCAAAGTGTAATTACACACTTCTATAACCTAAGAATAGCTCAGCCAGTTTACACTGAAGTCCCTGTAGTTACTGAATAATAAGCCTTACTCTGTAATAGGCCTGAGATTTTAAGTGGTTAAAATGCTCAGTACTCAAGTGGGCAATAGAGGACAATCAGAGCGTCTGTAAACAGGATCTACAGATAGGAGAGAGGATTCATCAAGCATGTTTATGTAGACAACATGGACGCCGTTTTGATTGGCTGTTTCATGAAACTTGTTTCAGAAGGTTGCAGCTGAAGTAGCCGTGTTCCAAGTTTCAAGTGAGTTGCAGGAGGCTTTACGTTATGCAACTCGAGTAAAACGTAGTTTTCTAGCAGCGGAAACTGCATGAAAATTTCACACACTCTGCGTGGGGAGCGCTGCACCTCTGTGCCTTCCTGTGACAGAAAACACATCAAACATGAACACATCCACACACAGGGAGGAAGAGCGCTCAGCCCAGGAGTGCTGTGACGGGGCCTGCTGATGTAATCGGCTCAACATAACAAGCACAGTCAGTCTACAGCAAACTCGCGCCGCACCCACTCCCTTCTGACCCTCTGAGCAACGACTTCATACAAGCCCACAATCCGTTATTTGTCAGCCTGTAGGACGATGTTTGTTTTACTTAGAGCCACAGATGAATGCAGTTGAGCAAATTGCAATTATTGTCAATTTGATCTGGTGAGAAAAGGCTTCCCTGTCACGCAAGGGAAGTGCAAGTATCACAGAGGAGATTATTTTGAACTGAGTTCTCGTGTCCATTTCAGAGAGCTGACCATCTCCTTGAATCCAAAGAACATAATACAAATGAGAACTGAAATGGAGAAATCTCGCACACGTCCCCTTGGGCTGTAATGAGCTGCAGGGCTTAAGTGGAGCAGCCCGAGGTGAAGGAGTCCTTGGCCGTAGCCCTGCCTCGAGTGCCGCCGTTGCTTGGCGACAGCATGTGAGCTGCTCAGGTCTGACCCAGAGCCTCTCGTCTGGAGTGCCGCTTCTCTGCCGACTCCCATCTCCTTGCCTTTTTTTTATCAAATCCACATTTGCTTTTGTCAGTTTTTATAGAGAACGATGTGCCATACAGAGTCAGAAACCACATAAGCAATGAGGTCTGTCTGAAATTACTTTGACGGAAACAAAAATAGCTCTAAAATGGCTGCTACTACTGTTTTTAGTTATTTAGGACTGTTTTTATGCAACGTAGTTTGTCAGACACTACAGACACTCCAAGTCTTTTGGTTTTGAGACCAAACATGTCTTAGCTGATTGAGTACATTTGCTATAAAGGGGAAATTGTATAATTTTTTCTTTGATTTTTAACCAACACTGCGAAACCGGTGTCTTGTCAAGTAATATTATCCTAAATATAGTTAATACATCTAATATTGCTTCTGTTGAGATTGTTGTAAGATTAATTTAAGATTATTTAACTTATTTCTAGACATTTTTGTACTTGTTTTAAGTAATTTTATTGAGCAAAATTATCTCACTACATTGGCAGATTATTTTGCTTGTTTTACTAAATGTGCTTGAAACCAGCAACATTATCTGCCAGTATAGTGAGATAATTTTATTCAATAAAATCACCTAAAAGTAAATAATGTCTAGAAATAAGCTGGATAATCTTATAATCAGTGCACAGCCATCAATAATGAGAAATATTAGATATATTGATTAGATTTAGGATCATTTCACCTGACAAGATACTATTTTTTGCAGTGAAACTATCACTTTAACAGCATCTCACAACAACAGCAAGAAATAAACTGCACTCATAATGCTAGAATCTTTCTCTCCTGCTCCTCTGACAGCCACAGGAAGGAAGAGGGGAAATCATTGGCGAGAAAAACCTTCAATCTCGTTTCTAAACAACCTGATGAAATTAACTCATGGCCTCATGCCCCGACCTGGCTCCATTAGCCAAATTGGATTGATGCAGAGAAAAACAGATTGACAAGATTAATAGTCATGGGAAGACGTGGAAAGACGCAGCCAGAAAGATCTGTCACATCTTCTTTAGTGGCACTGAGTCTGGCAGCGTGTGAACGATTTTCGAGAACAGGGAGGGACAGAGAAACATCAAAAACACTTTGGCTTTGTGTGGCATGCCGGCGTACAGCCATCGCCCTGAATCCCAAGCAGCCGTCGCTTCTGAAACCGGAAAAAAAAAAATCTAAATATAAGTCTAAAGCTGTTCACAGGGTTGAAGAAGCGCCGAAATGTGACAGATGGGATTTTGTTTTTGGATATATGTCAACATAAAAAACAAATTTGAACCACTTTCATCTTTCATATTCGCTTTCTCCACCAGTTAAGATGGACTTAACTAGAGACACGTTGACATCATTGTTTTCAGACCAAGTATGAGTCTGATACCATACTGAGTAACCTACTCAGAATTAAGCAGTTGTTGTTGTAAAGGAGGACAATGTACCTTAACTAGTTATATCGTTAAAATCTAGCTGATTTTAAATGATGTGCATTAGCTAGTTATGCTACATTAGTATCCTTGGATTGAGCAGCGCTGCTTTTGAAGAGCGATTTTTGTTTCCTGTCAGAGAAGCGCTTCTGTTTCATAGTTTTGATCGTCTTCTGTCTCTTTCAACAACAGTCTCAGTAGGTCAGTGACATCGGGAAACACATCCGAGGCTAACGCATCTGAGGAGCTCACTTGTGGAGTTTACGTCCTTTCGCTGGTTTTTGTTTGCCTGGTTAAGCTGTAGTGTAAAGCCAGGCATACGCTGCGATTTTAGAAACTGATTGACGTGCTACGTGAAACACATCCCCTACAGACGGCTCAGTCTATGGACAATTTTTAATAAAGCTGTTTCATTCAAAGTAACATGATATGCCCCTGAGTAGTGAGACAACAGACTGCTGCTACAGCAGCTTCGAGAACTTGTTCCACACTGTGCACTGAAGCTAAAACCAGGTGGTGACATGTTCTCTCTACAGCTTATTTTATTTAAAAATCACTATATTAAAGTTTATGCTTCACAATTCTGTTCAGTCAAACAGAGTAAAGTGGGCATATGCAGACTCTGGTACCGCAAATGTCAGCTTAATTGTCTCCATCAAGCTAGCCTACGTGTCCCCACGCATATTGAGGAAGTGGTTGTGATAATGTTTGTATAAGAATGGGCTAAAATCACACGGTGTATGTCTGGCCTGAATATACCAAGCCGAAATATTTAAAGTAAGCACTTTGCTGTACGAGAAGACCCTCATTCACTGCCAGCTTGTGCTGTTTGTTCATTAGCGTGGCAGCGTACGCTAGGCCTATGTCACAGGGTATCAGGTGGTATCAAATGTGGACTGCGCACTCCCGCACCAGTGAAGATTTCGGGGCTTTTTACATTCTAAAAAACAAGAAGTAGAAAGAACCTCCGGGTAAATGAACCCCATGCAAATAAACAGGTCATATTATGTGAAAAAGGATTTTAAAGGCATTTAAAGAAACATTTACTTGTGTTCTCTGTGGCTAAAATCTAGCTGATATATGTGCTGTCCTCCTCGAGTGTTCCAATCTGACCCAAAAAGAGCTCTTCTATTGTTACGATGTCAAAAAGAACCCTTTTTGGTGATATATGGAACCATTTTCACAAAGGTTCTATATAGAACCATATACAACATATTTTCCATCAATCTGAAGAACTATTTTACCATGCAAAGAGCCATTTAAGCATGCAAACGGTTCTTTGGGTGTTAATGGATCTGTATAGAACCACTAAAGAACCCTCGAAGAACCATTTAAAGACCCCAGTAATCTCATGGGTCACCTCTGAACTTTTCGGCGAGATCTCAATAAAGTCAGATTTGCGAGTTCATAATGCTGCTGTTTATATGCAACTGAAGTAAAAATGGGACCCATTTCTCATCCAACACTAAAAGCCCATTATGAATAGCTATTACAGCTTTATCTGGGCTGATGCATCTCGTGTCTTCTAATGCTATTTCTCCTCAGGAATTTAAGGAGACTCCAGAGCCACCGAAGATCAGCATTTGAGCAATAAAATTGTCCTGTGGGTTATAAAGTGAGCATAGCCTGAGTCTGAGCCACTGTGATGCTGATTTTCTCCTCTCCTCTCCTCCCCCAGTGTACGGACACAACGTGAAGAGCAGTAACGACTTTGTGGGCCGCGTAGTAATCGGTCAGTTTTCCACGGGCCCTGCGGAGACCACCCACTGGCGGCGGCTACTGCGCTCCCAGCGGACCCCCGTGGAGCAGTGGCACAGTCTGCGCTCCCGAGCCGAGTGCGACCGCGTGTCCCCCGCGTCCCTCGAGGTCACATGATCCTGACTGGGACGCCTGATTGGTGGAGGCGGAACGGAGATGGGCTGGATTGTGGTTTGAAAAGGCGAGGATCTTTCGTGGTCTCACCTGAAAGACGAACGACAAACTGTCTGACTCGGGGAAAGGGGGTTAGGGGTGCGTCAACATTTACTCTACACTGTGGCTTGAAGGACCAGTTGTAGATAGATTTACTATCAAACCACAGTGTTTCCAGAAACAGTGGGTTCTGGCTGCAGTCCACCTGCTCTGACCTCACACCTGTTCTGAACAGGGGAAAAAAAGGCCTCGTAGTGTTTTTCCACTGGCCATACAGAGCAGGGGCCTGCCGTCCACATTTTCTCTTTATCACATTGATACTATCTTACAGGACAGCTCAATAACCTCATCATCGTCCGTCTCTCGGCCGCTCAGCTGGACACTGGGGCAGCCGAGACCACTCCTCCTGCTGGTATGGGGTGCAGTGTTTCAACCACGTTGCTTCTTTTAATCCGACTACAACACGAGGTAGTTGGGAGTTAATCCAAAAGCAATCCGCGTTCCTTATTTGTTTTTTTTACAGTTTCACACCAAAGCTTCTGTTTTCGTTTCTGTTGTATCGAGCTGTGCGCGTGTGCGTCTGTCTGTCTGTCCTCAGAGTGAATGTCTAACGTTTTTCAGTAAGTGTTCGCACTCCTAATAGCAATCGCGTTCTACGTCACCACGTCAGAATGTGTTGGTGTCTGTGTGGATATTTTTGCAGGGTTTAGAAAACACGGTGCCATTCCAGAAAAGGTGCAGATGAACTCACCTCCCTCTGGTTTAAGACTCACCTTTGTACGTTTACCAACAGTCCAGTCCAGTGTGGTCCACATGTTGCCGTGCTGTGTATCTTGTCCTACCTCCTCTCTGTCTGTCTAGTGAGTAGATGGACATAGATCGGTCCTGCTGGAGGAGTGATGTTCTGTAGTATAGAAATCAAAGTGCGCTCAGAAACATTACCGTCTTTATCCGTCTCCTGACGCTTTCTCGTGTGTGCCTAGTAGTGAACTGTTCCGGGTCTAGAGGCACCTTGTATGATTGTGAAATCTCTATGTTAGTGTACGACTTGACCGTGACAAATGATTACTAGTAGATAAAAACACATAAGAATAACAAAGATGTGCCAGTGAAGATATTTATTTAGATAAATCAATGCGTAGACATCTTATATATTTATCTCTACAAATATATATGTATATATTTATTACTTCAACTGTATACCATGAATGATATGACTTGAACAAATACAGTATGTGTTGCTGGACGTAAACACGAGGGGAGACAGAAATACAAAATAAATATATTGGAATAGAGAGGCGACTGATACGTTCCTGCCTGTTCACAGCAAACCTGTGAGCGAGGGTCAACCACTGCTGCTCAATGTGAAATGCTGCTCGCGTGTGAGATAAAGTTTGGTTTTAACTCAGAAGGAAGACACCTGGCGTCCAGGTGGATGCTAGCGAGGGAGTTATAAATGCCCTCTCTTGTCTTTGTTGTTTTTTTTTAACCTTGGCAAACCAGACCTCTTGTAAGTGATGAGCTGTTGTCCCTTTAAACGCCCATTCAAACGAAATCACGATGTGCACTGAGTGCTGTCGGGTCCAGTCTTTGTCCTTTTGAGACTCTGTGTCAAATGATTGTGTTTTCTGTCTGTATATGAAAGCTTTTCCAACATCAATGAACTTAATGATGGGTCTGTTGTTGTTTTGCATTCAATCATGTTTGATGAAATTTGGGTTCGTTGGTTAAACCCAGTGGTTTAGATGTGAACAAAATCATTCAGAGTGGTTTGGTGTGAAATACGCCTTTCCAGAGAAATTTAACGAGTCACAATTGTTCACCATTGTAGTACTAGGAACCAGACGTCCGAAGCATTTAATGGCTCTAAAAGCCACATCCCATTAAGTTATTACACAAAATGGTTAGGAATGCCTGGCTTGATACCTCAGACATTGTTTTGTGATAAAGTTTTGGCCTAAAATGTATTTTTAGTATAAACTTTTACTTTTACTCGCAGATAAAATGGTGATATTTGTAGTGTAGACATAACGACGTCTGGTTCCTATTACTATAATGGTGAACAATCTTGACTCGGTAAACTTCTCTGGAAAGGCACATTTCACACCAAATCACTCTAAATCTAAATCTAAATTCTGTTTACATCTAAACCATTGAATGATTAAGTCATTTTGCAAAATCCGTGGAGTTCCTCTTTAACGCCTTACCAAGCCACAGCAAAGTTTAATTAAACACTTTCAGAACCTAAGAAAAGCTCCACTGGTTTGCATTGAATTCCCATTTCCGAGTCACAATTGTTCACCGTTGTAGTACTAGGAACCAGACGTCCGAAGTATTTAATGGCTCTAAAAGCTACATCCTGTTAAGTTATTACACAAAATGGTTATGAATGCCTGGCTTGATACCTCAGACATTGTTTTGTGATAAAGTTTTGGCCTAAAATGTATTTTTAGTATAAACTTTTACTCCAGGATTACTTTTGTGTTTCCTCTCAAAACCACATTCTCAACTGAGATCAATGCGCACAAGCTAACGTGCTTTTGTTGTTACTAGCCTGTAGCTACAGCCGTTCAACACAGGTAACGGCAGCAGCAGCTTTTGTTTACAGTTCATTTTTATAGTTTTCTTACTTTGGAAGTTTTCTATTTTGGAAGATTGCGGAGGACTTCGAGGAGATCTGATTCCGAAATTTCATAGCGCCAAATCGATTTGAACCAGAACACACAAATGAACTGTAGTGACTTAAAGAAGACAGAGCCAAAAGGGAGAGAGAGAGAGAGAGGGAGAGAGAGAGAGAGAGACTAAACCCGCCGGCGCCGAAGCAGAACAACCCAGGGCGAATGAAAATTAGTGGCGTCAACAACAAACTACTTACGATTCTACTTACCAGTTTATGAGGTACGATAGTGAGGTAGTTATTTTATTGTGTGGCTCACTTTAGACTGTCTGTAAGCCAATGCCTAACATGATATACGCGCAGTGGCTAAAAACGACGAATTTACTTCACTCACAAACGTTTCTTACATTGATTCCAGTTCCTGTGGTGGGAAATACAGCAGAGGGAACAGCAGTTTTCTTTAGCAGCTGGGATTTGAAGAAATCTGCTTTGTACTTTTCCTCTAGTCCTGCAGAGTCTTCATTGGTTTTTAGTTCAGTTTGTAGAGTTGTTCGATTGTATTTGTGTATAGCTTCAAAATAATTAGCCACAACGTCAGGATGTCTAGTATTTGAAACAGCAACTGACAAAAAACACACCGCATTGTATTTTACATCCTGGTGCAGCACAGTTCACCACCACTCTGAACAGTTAACCAGCAAGGAGCAACCGTGATCCATCGCAGCTCCTCTGATAAATAACAATGTTACTCACATAAGCTTTGAGTTTTGTTGACACCATGCGACGCAACACAGCCAACCCAAACAACACAAAAGGCGTTCAGGGCGGAGAGGTACATGCAGGGCGTTGTAAGGAAAAACTAGTACCCAGAAAAATATTTTTTTGAATTTGGAGCTATTTTACCAATAACAGCATGACAGGTAAAAACTTACAAGACACATGTAAGCTTACCAGTCATTTTGGATAGCAGATAAAATGGTGATATTTGTAGTGTAGACATCACGACGCCTGGTTCCTATTACTATAATAATGAACAATTTCGACTCAGTAAACTTCTCTAGAAAGGCACATTTCACACCAAACCACTCTAAATCTAAGTTCTGTTTACATCTAAACCATTGAATGATTAAGTCATTTTGCAAAATTGGTGGAGTTCCTCTTTAACGCCTTACCAAGCCACAGCAAAGTTTAATTACACACTTTCATAACCTAAGAAAAGCTCCATTGGTTTGCATTGAATAATAAGCCTTACTATGTAATTAGCCTGGGATGTTAAGTGGTTAATGTGCATTAATAACCTTTTAGTTTACCAAGTTAGTTTTACCAAATTAATTGTACGCCCTCAATCTGGAGCATGAGGAGTGTTACCTTAAAGTAATTCAGAGATTGTCAGATTACCTTATAAAGTGTTCACTATTACGTCCTTTTTGTTTGTTTGTTTTTGCTTGTGTTTATTTTTAAGCAAGGTGAATATTGAACCTGCTGTCAGAGATGGGGACTTGAGTCAGCGACTTGCGCTTGAGTTGCACGTTGGCCTCCCTTGTGACTCGACTGACTCATGTCCACCCTTAAACGACTCACGACTCACTTGTCAAATTTCAGCCTGAGGAAAGAGGCGAAACAGCTTAAAACTTTAAAATAGCTGGCTAGCAGATAGTTTGGAAAACACATATTCTAGTTAGTGCAATAGCTGAAGTTGTCAGCAAGTTACAGATCAATTCCTTTAAACTTTCTAAAACTTTACCTGGAATAGCCACACTCTCAGAAATAAAGGTAGTAAACTGTCTCTGGCACAGTGCCCCTATCGTCACTGGGGTGGGACCCTCAAGGGTACACCTTAGTACCTTAAGTCAGGGAACATAATTGTACCATAATTCATTGAAATTATATTAATTTCTAAGCTGTACTGACTCCACACACCCCGTCTCGTCTCCAGGACTTTTATTTTACTGTTCTGTTTTAAAACATTTGGTTATGAAAAGGTACAAATACGAACTTTTTTACCTGGAAATACTTATTTAAGGTTCACAGTCAGACCTTAAAACCACTGTTGTACCTTTGAGGGAACATTTACATTGTTTGTATCTTGATGAATGAAAAATGTTCCTGCACAGAACCTTTATTTCTAACAGCGTATTATGCTAGATAGCTAGCATATTTGCTATACAGACTACAGCCTAACCAGCAGTTTCAAGTTGTTGTGCATCTTCCCTTTTAAATGCTGCATTTACTGCGTGTAGTGCTTCAGTTCGATCCATCAGGCAGGGTTTTTCCTACAATAAAAGGCTCCTTATTTGAAGCTGTACAGCTAATAATGAGACTAAACCAAAACCATCTGCTGAAGTCTCAAGACAGACTCGACTGGGACTCAAACCACAGTGGAGCGAGACTCAGCTCGGCCTCCTGCCTGCAGTGATTCCACTGTGAGTTGATTGCATCTGATGCCAAGTATCCCATCATGTCTGCTACATTTTAGAAGATAGAGATTCCATAATTTCTTTTTTCCTCATAAGTGCTTTACATGCTCAACAGGCTAGCATTCCAAGAAATGTCATTCCCTAAAAATGAAATGATTGCGCATTTTGGGGATAGCTTTGTCGACACGCAGCACGCTGATGCCAGGGAAGAAGCTGACGTTCTCGTGTTTGGGTCATGTAGTTTCCAAATTACTTTTAAGCCACAATACATGATTTGCAGCCGTAATATAATGTGGACCCCGGAATGCACTAATTGAATCTCTGAAATGATAATGATTCAGCGCTTGTTTGTGTGCAAATGTTCCCTCCGAGGGCCGGCAGACCTGGTGATTAGTCATTTAATTACGCCGCTCTGCTCAGCTCAGCAGTAGAAGAACAGCTTAACCCCTCTGTGGGCCATCTCGGCTCAGGGTCCGGGTCAGGTGCTCAGGGAGCTGGAGAGCACGCTGGACCCACTGTTGACGTACACAGTTTCAATACAACATGGTAACTGTGGAATGCCCCCCTGAAGAGACGATTAAGGCTTCCCAGCTGATGATCTGGCAACCTTCACGCCACCCTCTTCCTACATTCTTCTTGACCTTGATGTTGCCCTTATGTGCTTGTTGGATTTCTTGTAAAGGTTCTTGTGACATGGTTAGTTTAGTGATCTAGCCTGATCTATTATTTTGGTATCTCGCCAATTTTTCCTAAACCCATGCTGCTTTTGCATGTTCATTGTTTGTTCTATTTGCCGCCTAATCTTTAAAGCATCTGCGTTCAACTTAAGAATACAAATTTCGGCAAACCCTGGCAAAATCCATCATTGGTAAACAATTAATCATTACCATCAAGCCTACAATCAAGAACATGATCCATAAAAATATAAATTATAAAATGGATACATACATACATACGTACATCATCTAAACCACTTATCCTTCTGGGTCGCGGTGGGGTGCTGGAGCCTATCCCAGCTGTCAAAATGGATAGTTAAGATTAATTGATTTTATATCGAAGAGTGCAATTTCCAAATTGCAGGAGCTGCAATTTTTTAATTACAGCCTACATTATTAAAAATCTGTAAAGTTTTAAGTGGGGTAGTTTAACCTGTTAACACAGAGCTTGTGAACTGCATAATAATAAGAATAATCTGATCACAATCAGAATTCTGCAGTTATCTGATTACTCAAATGGCCATGTAAACAGCATACACTGATTTCTTAGCTCGGAGTGAGGTCTAGAAACCTGATTAAGAAATCCTGTAAAGACAGCTGAAGTTTAGCTCAGTAATCAGATTTCTCAGTGTAAACTCTTACTCTGATTTCTTTCGGATTTCTCAGTCTGCGCATGTGCGAAAACAGACCGTGGTACCGAAAATTAGCAAGCAGCGTTGCCGCAAGACGCAGCAAAACACTTTTGGAGCGACGATGAAACCACGGATTTTCTTCATCTTCTAGATAGTGTATGTTCATATTTTCAGGTAAAGAGGCGCAATGTTTAAAAAAAAAAAAAGCCGCGGCATTAAGTTTGAGTTTTACATTACGTTTACATCACGTCTTCTTCTGTGAGTTTATTGGCTGGTTGCAAAGTAGAAATCTGATTACTGTCTGACTCATGTACACCTGGAGTTTCCCTATTATCTGATTACTCAAGTGCATGTAAACGCGTTAATCGGATGAGCGGCAGCTTTAGATCAGCGGACCTCAGTAGCTCTCAAAGGCCATCTCCGTCCACCACATCCTTTCTGCAATTTTACACACCTGTGTGTGATTCCCTCACACTTTCAATATGGCACATCACTGTAGTTGTGCAATCTTCCTCTCAAAACGTGGTCCTAAACATTGAATTTAGCTACAAGCTTCGTTTTTTAGGCCTATCTAGAGGAACCAGTGGCCTATTGCGCCCTCATGCGTACAGCTTAAATATGTTCAACTTGAATGATAAATCCACTTATTCAAACAGGAAGTGTCGTTTATTGGAAATGAAAGTTTGTTTTGTTTTTTAACAGCATTGGTCAAACAGTTGTTTGCCAGTTAAGAATTAATTGGTTAATCATTTACATCCAGGCTTTGCTCTTGAAAATATGGGTATGTTTGCGTGATCTGTTTTGGTGTCTTCCTAACGTTTTCCCCAATTTTTAAACCAATTAGTGACCAATAAAGACTCACCAACCATCGACCACCAAGGGTAAGACAAATCATAAATGCAAATATCAAAATTGCGGCAACACTTCATTTGGATGGTCCATTATAGATGCTTTGCAGATGCTCAATCTCTCTTTAACTAACATTAAAATAAGTATCTTTTAGTTCTGCAACTGAACTTGAAGCTGCTTCTGAAAGATTCTCTTAAATCTATCCCTAACCCTAAACCTGACCCCAACCCTAACCTCAAGGCAAAACCTACACCTAACCCTAAACTTAATGGTTTTGATAACCAACTGAGTATCACCAGAAAGTCTGTCAATGATTGAAGTAGATCTGTAGGTCCTCTATAGGGGACCATCCAAATAAAGTGTGACCCAAAACTGCTTCCAGGTTTGTAACTACTTGTAGAGACGTTTGTGTGAAGCTTTTAGCGAAGAAACTTGTACTTACCCTAATTCCAACAGCACGTGAAGGCAGCATTACATCTCCATCACACACACACACACACACACACACACACAGACCCACGGAGGTTTCTTACATCACTCAACACAAACAGCCAAGAGCAGTCCAGAGGGCCTATTACACACCCCCTCCCACTGTAAGGGTTCAGACAGATCTTCTGCTCATGCATTATTCACTGCATTGCCCTAAGGAGTTTTGCAGGCTATGTTAGTGCTACATCTGCTTGGCCCGCTACAGAAAGCCTTCAGGCACTAATTGGCGCAGTCTAAGTGCTGGAGGGAAAACTCCAAAGGTCAGCAGGCAGGTTGAGGTTAAGCTACTTCTTGTCTTTTGAAGCACAGCAATAAAACGAAAACTTTAAACCCCTTCGTTCCTTGACAGCATCAACTTTCAGGTCAGTGCCTGATCAGTGGGAACAGAGAGACAGTGCCTGCTCGCCGAATGGCAAACCTGGAGGGAGAAATCCTGGGGGACACTGCGAGTCGTGACTCAATTGGTAGAGAAGTGCTTCTGGTACTGTTTGGTCCATCAGGCCAGATTGAGCATTTCATGACGAATGGTGACTTGGGATAAAATCACGTGCAGCATTGTGTAAAAGTCGGAGACCATCGTTTGGTTATTAAATTTCCAGTCAAAACGACCAGTGAGTTATTACTTTTTCAGGAGGTATTTGTAAGGGGATTATATGGGGGCCGAGAAGACTGAAAACACTGCAGATAGAAAACGAGCTGCAACTGCAGAAAACACTTTCATCAAAATGACAACATGAGCGCTGCATTTTACAAACTGCTGCAAGCACAGAAAACTCATGCAACTTCAGAAACGCTGATAAACCAGTCACAACACAACAGAGGTGTTTCCCAAGGACACTCAAAGAGGACGGAGCCATTCAGACTTTACGTTCTATACAGCACAAACACTCACCGGTAGAAGTAAGTTAGCTTTTATTAGAGCAGATTACTGACATCACTGTATCGTAATGAGAGTGAGCTGTAGATTGTAACTGTAAATGTTAAACTAGTAACACCAGATTAACTACCACAGCATAGCTATGATGTGTCAGATTGCAAACTAGCCAGCCAGGTTAACCATGAACCTGGGATCTGAGTGTCTGAGTGTCTGTGGTCTGATTTACTTCTCTCAATGATTTTCCATCAAAGATATTCCATCCACTTTGAGCCCTTTGAGTCTTCCAGAAACATTTCTGCTGTGTTGTGACTCACTTCCGTTGTGTTGTGACTCACTTCCAATGTGTTATGACTGGCTTTTCAGCATTTCTGATGTTGTCTGTGTTTTCTTTACTTGCTGTGCGTTTGTGAAATGTAGTTCGGGTGTAGTCATAGGTGTTTCTGTCCGACCTTCCAGTGTGAGGGAGCATTCAGACTTGGCAGGTTTGGTTCGATTAAAACACACCCTGGTACGATTGCTCTATTAGTGCGTTTGGTTAGCAAGTGAGAACGCTGCCATCGGAACTCTGGTGCACACCAGATAAGCGGGGCCGAGACCCTCTGAGCAGGTTGGTCTCAGTTTGCTTCAAAGCGAACTCCGGTGCGGTTCTTTTAAAGTGTGAATGAAATATAGACAAAACATCTAAACGGACCAAAGACAGTCGTCTGCTCCCTTACTTCTTTGGTTGGTGGAAAAGACGAATTTCTGATGCTGTTTTGACACATGCATGTGTTTTACCATCTCTTCATGAGCTGAATCAGTGTAGAACGGAAAGTTCCCGTTTTGAAACAAGGCTGAGGCACATTTGAAGTAATTATAAATTTCTTTGTATTCACATTTGACATACATAAGTTATATTATGTATTAAGGATCCAAGGTTTCTCCAAGCAGTGAGCCGCTCAAGGCTGTTTCAGGGATCTCACCCTGCTTTGCGTTGTGCAAAACCTCAGTAACGCAGGGAGTCTCATGGCTTATTGCTCTAATATCACAAGACAGATAAAATGAGACATAAATAAAACCAAGGAGCCCAGACAGGAAGGAGAACAGCATGATTCATTAGGTTTGGTGGACATGATCACAGTTATTGTACATAATAAAATCTGGCCAACCTTTTACTCACATGACTTTTGTTTACATTTTTTGGTTCGAGGATAAATGTGTTCATGTGAATGCTAAGCAAACCAGGAATTAATGCAACAGTGTATCGTTTTCTGCTTTGGTTCAGTCCAAGAGACTCAAACTACAAGTATAAATGCACCTTTGCTGCTGTGAATAGATGGTCTAAAACAGGCGTGTCAAACTGGGGACCTTCTGAGCCAAAGTGCTGCGGAGATCAGCGTTTACCCTCTTCTAACTCTCTGAACTCAGTTCATGAAGGCCTTGCTAAGCTGATGAGCTGAATCAGGTGTGTTTAATGAGGCAATGTGCTGAAGTCTGCAGTGTTTTGGCCTGTGAGGACCCGAGCCTGACGCATGTGGTTTAAAGGGTCTGAAAGAATGCTGGCCATCCCAGAGTCCGGAACTCAACATCACTGAATGTGTTTGATTACTTCAGAAAATGATCAACCAACTTTCTAAGACTGAACTTTGGAGGTGTGTCTGCAGATTTCTTTGAGAAACTGAAAGTGGGTCTTCTGAAAAGACTGGAAGCTGTAATAATAGTTAAGAGTGGACACAGTAAATACTGAAAAATAGATATTATACATATAATAAATGAAGGGTGACTTTCATAAAGTACTGTACATGAATGTCTCCTGTAAAGTTGTGACAGCGACAATAACAAAGTCACTTGAGATTACAACAGCATGACACTTGACAAGTATGTGATCAATTAGCCATGCAGTTAGCAGGATGCTAATTGTTGAAATATTAACTTCCAGTACTTGTTAGCTACATCCATGTCTGGTGTAAAACTACACTCTCAGAAATAAAGGTACTAAAATGTCTCTGGGGCAGTTCCCCTCTTGTCACTGAGGTGGGACCCTCAAGGGTACATCTCAGTACCTTTAGTTAGGGAACATAACTATACCATAATTCATTGAAATTATATTATATTCTAAGTAGTACTGACTCCACTCACCCCGTCTCGTCTCCAGGCTTTTTATATTAATATTCTGTTTTAAAACATTAGGATATGAAAAGGTACAAATACGAACTTTTCACCTGGAAAAAACTTATTTAAGGTTAACTGGACCTAAAACCACTGTTGTACCTTTGAGGGAACATTTACATTGTTTGTATCTTGATGAATGAAAAATGTACCTGCACAGAACCTTTATTTCTAACAGTGTAAATAAGCAAACACCTGACACCAAATAGGTCTTGGCTGGTTCTCTACATGAAGGGGAAAATTGTGCATATTTGTTTTTTTGGCCATTGAAGACAGGAATGTCCCAGATGACTTAGAAAACAATGGATAGCTCGGAAAACATTTCAGTTGTTTTATAAAAATGCAAGGGTTCCACAGCAGTTACGCTCTATTTGAATACAAGCGAATCATGTTGCCAGTGTTGGAGCAGCCAGCTGGTTGTGGGTGGGGACTTCAGATCCCCAGCTTGAAAAAACACACATAGTCCACGTCTTAGGTGTCCAGTGGCACTGCCCTAGTGTGGCGAGGCCAGCTGAGCGCCTCGCTCTGCCTTTTTAATGAGAACTGACTGCTTTAATCCCTCACAACATGCAAAACAACACCAACATCAGTGTGGATAATCATCCAACAGCTCCAGGAGAAAGAAACGAAGCTGTATTTCCAAAAGCAAGTTTGCAGGGAGGGTGTGTGTGTGTGTATCGTGAGTCACTGGTATAAACGAGGCCCAGATGGACATGGGACCTTGGCAGCGTGTGAAGAGTGGAGGGGAAAGGGTAACTGGAGAGATCCCAGTGGTCGCGGCGACAGAGATGAGAGAAGAACCAGTTTTCTGTGACTTGGATGCGACAGGATGTCACGCAAAGACGCAAACAAAACAAGCAAACTGCCGGCAGGAGCCTAGTTATCCAGCGTGGGGATCTTGCAGACAAACGGGAAGGCCTTGTCGCAACTGTTGTCATTCCAGGACCTCAGCGCTGTGAAGGATAAGGAACAGAAGGATGAGAACGCTCCAGTTTGTCAAGACATTTGCTTGGTTTTGTAATGAGAGAGTTTGCTTGAGAGGGATTTGGCTGACTCACCACTGTTCTGTCGGTACCAGATCTCCACGCAGTCCTCCTCCTCGGGGATGCGATGAATGCCGTCATCTGGCTGGTTTCCGTCCCAGTAGCTGTACTCATACGGTGACCCATCTGTCCACTCCAGAGTGCCCTCCTGCATACGATAGTTGGGTAGGTTATTATTATAAGTGCCATCAAGTGGTTTCCAACTCCAGGCGACCACATGGACAGTGTTTCTAAAGAGTCACCTGTCCTGTTTGAGTCTTTTGGTTTCTTTGGAAAAAATGGGTTCTTTGGAGTGATGACATAGAACAGGGTGCCCAGTCCTGGTCCTGGACATCCACTGCACAGATTAATCTAAGCCACCTGATTCAAGTAATAAAGGCTGTCAGGAGCATCTGAACATTAGAGCCAGGCGAGTTGGATCTCCAGGTTGATCACAGGACCCTCCCCCCAAGACGGCCTACATTTACTCAAAATACATATAGAGCAACAATATTGACCCTCTGGAGAAGCCTCAGAACCACAGCCATGGTTCCCTGAAGAAGCTTTCAATGGATATTTTCTTTAAAGACCATTTTTTGTAAATAAGATGAGACCGTGAAGAAACCTTTTGAGAGTCAACATAATATAAAGGTCTCATATCAGGGATTCGCAACCCAAATGTTAAGAAGATCCATTTTGTCCTTTCAGTAAAAATCAAAACACCTTGGGAGCCACAACATTTTATGTCTGTTTAACCATCTTGCTGTAAATATGTCTCAGTATGTGCTGATTAACTAGTATAGGATAAAAATATAAATGAAAACACAGATTTACTTTGCTCTGCTTTAAGCTTTATCTCAGATATAGCCACTTTTCTTGCATCTCTGGCAGGAATCTTTTGCACAAACCTAGAACAGTTTCTTGTTTCTCGTTGTCTCTCAACATTCGTCTTCTTGTTTGAATTTTCCCGTTCCACCTTAAATGGTGGAGCCCCATGTTGCTGAACCCTATTCTATACCAAATAAAGTTTTCCTAGAACTGTACGTCCAAGCTAACAACTTTTTGGTAACCTTCATTTTTTAAGAGTGTGATCTGGTACTGATTACTAATTACATGACTAAAAATGTTACCAGTAGCATCTTACACTGCTTAAAAATGTGTAACCTAATGTAATTACTTTCAGACTTCTCTATGGTGAAAAATGAATGATGTCTTCAAAATTCACTGCTGTCGCGTCCTGTGGTGAACAAAAATGGGAATGTGTCCTGTATTCTGGTGAGGTTGCCTTTATTAGGGTGTCAATTGAGTGTGCAGCATTGTTAGCTTGCATGTTGTAACACATTGCAGCTCTTGAACAACCTCGTAATTCAGAGGATTAGGCTACGTTTGGAGTCAAAATGTTCATACAGCAAAATTAGGACCCTGATGTGGCCAAGCCGACTATAGGATGACAACATCTCTTCAGATTTATTGGCCAAATGCTGACCATTGCATAATGTTTGTTCACAGTTTGAACCATCTGAAGATAAAGCCCCAGTATCCCCTCACTGTTTCTTCATTCTTTCAAAATCCCGCATAATTTAATCATAGTGACTGCTAATATGAGGTTTATGTGCACGTGCCGTAAATTAGCAATTAATCAATTGATGCTGCCCAATCACAAAGGTCATCTTTAATATAGCAATTTTTAAATGAAGTAACTATAAATCTGATTATAATTTTCAAAAATATCCTACTTACATTATTAGTACCTAATTTTTGTAATCCGATTACCTAATCTATATTACACACAATCATTAATACCCATCACTGCCTGCAGGTACGTCCACAGTGGCAAAGCTATCACTTCTACTGTTCTGGCCCTTCCGATCTCCTGGGTGGACTTAGAGGGGTATCCAGGGTTAGCAGAGCCACCCAGACATGCACAGAGCAAAAATACCACAGCATGGCAACAGGACATCACACAGAACTAACACATGGCAGCACGGAGGCCTTGCAGACGAATGGTCTCAGTTCACAGGTCTTACTGAGGTTTCAATTTACTTGACCGCTGGAGGAAATTCACTTGCAGGTTCTACAAGCAGATCAGAGGCCTGGTTAAGGCCCTAGGCTGTAAATTAGCCACGTAGGCCCGCGCCATGACCCACCAAAGCTGCAACAGGAATCCGGTTTGTTTATTTTCCACCAGCATGCGTAACTGATTAAACGTAGCTAGAATCCATATATCTGTTTCATGGGGTTTCCACTGAGAGGTTTTATAGGCTAGACTCGGCTTTTATAAGAAGCCTAAGCTATCTGTTACACTTGGTTCAGCGGGGAGCCGTTAGCGGATTTTATGGCTAACTGTAAATCTGGAATTACATTTCTTATTTGTGTCAGATTTGTTATTGTTTTTTATTTAAGAATTTATTTTAAGATTTATTGTTATATTATTATTTATTTAAGATCCTTTATTTTATATTGTTATTTAAGCAGTTGTGAAGGAATTTGAGGGAAGTTAAGGAGCCACTTCAATTAAGGGCAGTCTAAGAGCCTTCTTGCAGACCCTTACACACTTTGTCAAGCTCAAACTTGGCCAAAAAGTGAGACCAATTGCTGGACTACAACAGTGTCATTGTAGTTATCGCTGGTGCATCAGCTTCAGATAAAATTCCAAGAGTCATAAAAAGAGTCTGCACTCATGGATCACAGTCTTCAAAGATCATAAAGGAAATAAATCCTTGAAGATTGTGATTCATGCATGCAGATTTTTTTTGTTACAATTTATTTACATTTATGGCATTTGGTAGACACTGTTTTGCAGAGCAACTTACAGTTTGATCATTTTACACAGGTAGGTGAAGGTAGTGTTAGGAGTCTTGCCCAAGGACTCTTATTGGTATAGTATAGGGCGCTTGCCAAGGTAGGGGATTGAATCCCAGTCTACAGCGTAGAAGGCAGAGGGGTTACCCACTACACCAGGGTTCGGCAACTCAAGGCTATTTGACTGCCCTGTTGCGGCAACACAGCAGAATCAGATTTGTTGGTAAAAATAAAATAATCCTCCTTCACAGTAAAATTAAACTCTGCTGGTCGTTCAACACAGTTTAACAATAAATGGTCTTAAATGCTGGAGTTAATGTAGAACTGCTTAACCCTGAAGGTTGGCGCACAGACTGCTGGTCACCATAGCAACGCAGACAACGATCTCTAGTAGCTGGTAGCTAACACATAGGCAAAGAGAAAGATTTAAGACGAACATCGATAATTTGGAGACTAATGGACTTATTTGCATTTATAAGCTCTCAGCTGGTTTTATGATATGTTTAATCTGCAACAAGTCACAAAGCTGAAGTCAGTTTCTCGCTCGCCAGCTTCTTGTTCGAATTTTCACATTCCACCTTAAATGGTGCAGCAATTAGCTACATAGTTAGTTGCATTCTGGCACCTCAGGCACCATTTAAGCTGAAACTGGAAAATTCAAACAGGAAACTGGCAAATTAAACTGACTTTAGCTTCGTAAAAAGTCAAACGTTGAGAGACATTTTACAAGAAACTGTTCTACTTTTCTAATTCAACTATTCTAAAGTTTCCTGCCGGAGATGCGAGAAAAGCAGCTATAGTTAAGCTAAACCTTACAGCAGAGCAAAGTACAGTGTGTTTTCGTTTCTATTATATTTTTTAGCCTTTACTAGAACATCAGCACATACTGAGACATATTTACAGCCAAGATGGCGACATGTTACTTCAGTAAAATGGACGTGAAATGTTGTGGCTCCCAAGATGGTTAGACTTTTGTTTAAAACTTGACAAAATAGCTCTTCTTAACATTTGGGTTGCCGACCTCTGCACTACACTATACCAACCTTTTCGACTTTTCCAGCAATTCTTTGCATCTTGAAACCACATTGCTGCCTGGGTAAAAGTTCAGTATTCCACAAATTTAGCGCAGCAGAGGAGGCTTCAGTTGATCTTTACCTGTCTCCTGTCATGCAGGCCGATCCAAATATCTGTCGGTATCCCCGGGACACGGCTGTTCACCAGATCATAAACAAACACATTCTCCTCCCAGCTGTGCCAAAAGAGAAGACGACTCATATGAGTGAAGAGTTTGGAAGGGATTGTTTTCCCCCTTTTCCTCAATGTAGTCAGCCAGGCAAGTCATGATTGGTGTCCTAGGTTTGCTTCTTTTGTTTTAGACTAGTGATAGGAGGCTAATGTAGCTAACACACAAGAATGAAGATATAAAGAAGCTCATACCTGACCGATTAGTGCAAAATGTGCTAGTTATCACACTTTCCTTCAGTTGTTTATCTCTAATAGAGTTGCTAATGTGGTTTCAGACACTGTATAACACACTGTTATTTATTATAAAAACAAAACTGTGTTACATGGATAAAAACAGTAGTAAAGCCTTAATTTTGTCTGTACTTGTGCCCATTTTAATAGATAACAATTGTTGCTGTGATGATTTAGTCATGCGGTTTGCACAATGTTGATATAATAAGCTTTCATTACTTTTCATTACTTTCATTACTAGGAAGAGCTTGTGTACACTTGGATTTTGGCACTAAACAAACACCAGCCGGTTAGCCTTCTCTAGTTTATTCAAGTGTGCTATCAGTATACATCTTTTAAACTACAAATAAGAGAGTATTCCCTTAAGTTTGCTTTTTATGTACCAAACAAAGTTATACTGAAGTATACTTGGCTTATTTTGACAAGTATACAGAAAGGTTTTTTATTTGGCATACACTTGTATATGCTTCTGCACACACCTGTGGCCTGTACCCATAATTATACTTTATAAAGTGAACTTTCATGAATGAAAAAGTGATACAGATGTATATAACAAAACTACTTGGAAAAAAGTCTGGTTCCATTGACTTAGATTAAAAGTAAAGTAAGTTTTTTCCTTCTCCTGTAAAATGATCATTTTGCTGATATTTCTTCTGACAACAGTGAAGTTTACTTGCGGTACACTTCAAAGTATACTTTCATGAACTATAAAGTAGGCTGGAAATATATAACTAGTACCTATAAGTTCACTTGTAGTGTGGTTCACAGCATAGTTACAGTACAAAATAAAACATAGATGTACACTAGTTGTACTCAACTGTAGAGATGTACTCAAAGTTTTCTACTTTTACACCTAAAGAGTACTTAAAGGAAACTAAATCATGGGCCAATATAGTCGTAAGAAGTATTGAAATAGTACATTTACAAGTATACTGGTAGTACATTGATATTAGTATACTTTCTACATAATGTATGCTTGGGAAATGTTATGGATATTTTTACCTGTGGATAGAAGTGAGTTTGGCTGATCTGTGGCCGTTGGAGAACTCAGCGCAGTACAGATCAGCCTCAGCCCACGTGCGGTTTAGGGGGAAGAATCGGTAGCAGTGGCCCTCAAACTCTGTCCAGAAGAGCGGACAGGCCGCTGGCTGGCTAGGATCAGGCAGCTGCAGAGGCAGCGCTGAGGAGAAGGGAGGGAAAATGTTACTGGCAGAAAACTGGACCACAGCACTGTTGGAGCTCGATTAGATTAATCAGAAGATGTTGTGTAATGTAGTGTGTGAGCTTTGGTTGGCCTATTGAGTATCTGTGTAACTTACCTGAATCCCCACAGATAGTGCGAATTAAAAATTCAGATTCATACCGGATTAAAATCACTCTACAAATATTACCGTCAGACAGAATAATGTCTGATTAAGTGTCAAAGCAGTTTTATCTTTTTGTTCATTTAATACAATTGTTTATGTCTGTGTAAGTGTACATGTGTTATTAAACATATGAATGTATATATTTCAATCAATCAAATTCTTTATTAGAGCAGAGTCTTCCAGCTCCAGTCTTGGAAAGCATGAGCTGTAGAGGGTCTTATAGCAAGGAGAACCACACAGAACCCTGGGATTTACATTCAAAAACACAGATTTCACATGTACTTAGAAACTAAGGACAAAGAGTTTCTTTTCACTGCGCCTTTGTTTTAAATAGATGGTCACATGCTTTATGGGGGATTTGAGTTTTGCTAACTGAGCTGAAACTAATCAGCAGCAGTTCTGGTGGGTGTTTCCTCAAGCACATCCTAAGAAATTGTAAAAAAAAGAAAAAAAGACGTGCTATGACAGCTCAGCGCTCAAACTATGTCACTAGAAATCTTTAAAGACGGTGATTAGCAAAGAATCACATTTTAATATCTCAATAATTCACATTTTTGCTGGCAAAAAAACTGAAACACTTAAACCGCAGTTGCTTTTATTCATTTATCTATGAGAGAAGAGAACATGGTCTTTCATTCTTTTCTGCCAAAATGAGGTCACACAATTTTTCTGCATTCAGTCATGCTACAATCACTTATAAATCAGTGAACTGTTTGTACAGTAATGGTTGTGTTCTTCAAACACTTAAAACACACTCAATGGGACAGTTTGTAAATTAAACCTGAACCAGGGCTAAAACTAATTTCCAGTAATGGATCACCACTGGAATGAAACGTCCAAGACTAGGTAAAATCCAGGTCTATGAAAAAGCCTAATGAGAATTCTGTGCTTAATAAGAAAACATACTTAATAAAAATGAATGAAGATTCTTCTGTTGTGCAGTAAGACTCTGTGAAGTCTGAGAGGGTGCGTACCGGGTGTACAGTTTGATAAAGAGTGCGGTGCGTGCTGGTGGTGGGTCAGTGTGGCACTCACCTTGCGTGATTTTGATGTTGGTTGAAGGAAGAGCCCACGCTGGGAGGCTGCTGAACAACAAGGCCAAGCACAATTCCCAACAGAGCATTTTCAGAGGAAGAGAGAGAGAGAGAGAGTGCGGAGGCTGTGTGTTAGAGTGTGTCCGTGGCCTTCGGAGAGAGTGTGTGCTGCAGGAGTGTGTGAAGTGTGTGTAGTGTTGGACAGATTGAGGGTGGGTGAGTCTCCTAAAACCCCGTCCCTCTGCCAGACTCTTCCCACCCGCACACGTCCAGAACTCTGACCAGAGGGAGAACGAGAGAGCTCGATAGAAAGAAGGAGAAACATGTACTATATATATATATATGTATATATGTGTGTGTGTGTGTGTGTGTGTGTGTATATATATATATATATATATATATATATATATATTTATATATATATATATATATATATATATATATATATATATCGCTGCTGTCGGAACAAAACCTTGTATCTCTAAAATCTTTAAAAACTCAAATTCAAATTATGTCAAAAACTGCAAAATGACCAAAATGGAGATACAAGGTTTTGTTACAACAGCAGCGATATGCATACATTCGAAACAAAACCTTTTTGTTTTTCAGTTTTTTATACAAAACACACACATTAACACAATTTCTATTATTTGAGTTTAACAGATTGGAAAAAAACATGAAATATAAAAACTGCCATAACTTTTTAGACATGCCACATTTTATGCGTGTTTTTCCCAGTATGTTAAATTGAGCAAATAAACAGTAATTGTCTGTTAAAATGTAAAGAAGTGTGTTATCTGTAGAAGATGTGCACCTTTATGGTAAGTAGAGCTGATAAATTGGACAAAAAGTGTAAATAATAGGAGGTGTACTTAATAAAGTGGCACAAAATTGAGACAGTATGTGAACTTGTTAATCCACTTTGCCATGCATTTATACAAAACCAGTACATAGAGAAGATGTGTAATGTTTTTCCTTATCAACCTTAATTGGTTTAATAAGAATACATTCATTCTGAAGTTGATGCCTGCAACACGTTCCAGAAAAGGGGCGATTTATGTCTCGGATCGTTGGGCCTCATTCACCAATATCTATATTTTTTTCTTACAGGTGCTCTTGAGAAAGGTCCTAAGAAAAAGTCTACGTCAGATTCATGACGTGTTCTAAAACTGCAGAATTGTTCTCACCTTTGTGTTCTTGAGTGTGTGTAGATTCGGTTCTTACTTAAGAACAAATCCCAAATAAGACCACATTGGTGAAGGTCAGAATCTCAGTGAAAACTGCGAAAGTGGGTTTTAAAAAGAATGTTTTTCTTAAGAAAGGTTGGTGAACGAGGCCCGTTGAGAAGTTTTCAAAAACATGTTAAACAAGTGATGCAATAATGTTTAGAGCATCCAGGAAAGGCCAAGTCTTTTATGAACGAGGATGGGTTGAGGTTTGTTGCTTTGCTAAGAAATACATCAGGGTTTTTTTTCACAGTGAACCCCATAAATGGCCTGAAGTTTTATTACAAACTTCTTACGAACTAGCCTAACTAGTTTGCAGGGAAGACCCTGTAGTTCCTGAATAATAAGCCTTATTGTGCAATAAGCCTGGGATTTTAAGGGTTAAACAGTGTGTAAAGGGCGAAAGACTGAGTTCCGTGATGGATATCAACCACTGTCTATAAACAATGTCCGTGGCTGATTACAAATGCAAACAGATTCCATATGTCGTCAATATCCAGAAATGCTGCTGACATCTCTGGGCTTGAGCTCATCTGAAATGGACTGATGCTCAGTGGAAACGTGTATTGTGGTCTGACGAGGCCACTTTTCAGATTGTTTATGGAATTAATAGATGTTGTGTTCTCTGGATCAAGAAAGAAAAGGACCATCTAGATTGTTACCAGCGTAAAGTTCAAAATCCAGGGTCTGTCATGGAATGAGGGTGTATTAGTGCGTATCTTGCAAACCTCTGAAGGCACCAGGTTGTCTGTGGTTCTGGAGCATTTCTATTGGTCCATTCATTACATTTTCACACACCCCCAAAAAACAAACAAAAAATAAATAAAAATGCATTATGTTTATCTGACAGTGATAGATAGATAGATAGATAGATAGATAGATAGATAGATAGATAGACAGATAGATAGATAGATATTTAATGATCCAATCCTTAATATAAATCAGGCAAAACATAATAGATTTGAATAAAACTCAGTAATTTACATACCATATACACTACATGCATTAATTATGATAATAATTTGGGATGTAACACATTTAATTCCAAAAACATTTACTGACATTAAAGAGCACCAACCATCGGCTTTAAGCCTTTAGATCAAAGCCCTGAACGGACGCCTTTGTCTTGTAAGGAACTTTAAAATGTGGCTTGTGTGACTGACCTGTGACCTGCATTCCTCGTTTAAACTGAGGAATTCCACCTCGCTGATCCTGTCTGAGAGAACCCAGCCTCCCTAAAATATCTGTGAAACATGTGGGCCACACTGAGAACGTGTACACGGGTGCTGAAATATGTTTATTAAACAAACAACCAAAAAAATGAATTAAAAAACCGAAACTTTATGTTAACAAAACACAGCCTATACCGACAAAATTCCAGCAAGGAAAACAAGATGCCGTATACTAACATCCGCACCAAATGTCCATGATAAATTCCATTCTCTGAACAGAAACTGTCCCCAGTGTAGCAGAATGTCAGTGAGATGCTGATGGTTCTTACCTGCCCCTCACCTCTCGCCTCCTTCAGCTCTGCACCATGCTGTCTTGTTAGCGATAGCTTGTCAGTTTTATCTCCAGGCCTGCAGTGTCCCGGGCTATTAAAGGCCCTGAACCCCTCTTATCTCTCCGAGAGGGCCACTGTCTGACACAGCGACGGACAGGCCGCGGAGACATGAGTCATTCTGAAGCCACTCACTGATGGAAAGCACACGTCTACTATTTTCAGACAGCTGCTCTGCTGCTCCTCTCCAAATAAACCGCACAATAATTACATCCCAGAAGTGCATATCAGCAGACGATCGTCAATAACTCAGACATAATGAGGGTCAGAGAGAGAGAGAGAGAGAGACAGAGAGAGACAGAGAGAGAGAGAGAGTTGGCACACACATCTGAGAATGGATCTGAAAGAGGATTCTTTCCTGACTGAATTTCACCAGAATTCTGGACAGCCACTGACCATTAGGTAATTGATGCCAAGATTGCATGTCCAAAAGTGGAGATACGAGTAATGCTATAAACAATCATGTGAAGAAGTAAGTACACCCCATGACTTTTGACTTTTTCAACATAATTGGAGCGACAGACAGTCAAGTCTTCATTTAAATAGTGAGTGCGCATACATGCACCCAATAATCTGATCATAATGCAGTTATCTGATTATTCAAATGGTCATGTAAACAGCATACTTTGATTTCTTAGATCAGAGTAAGGTCTGGAAATCTGATTAAGGAATCTGATTTGGATTTTAGCTCACTAATCAGATTTATCAGCGCATGTGAACTCTTACTCTGATTTCTTTCGGATTTCTCCGTCTGCGCATGCGCGAAAACAGATGGCAGCACCAAAAATAAGTGAGCAGCGTCGCCAGGAAATGCAGCAAAACACTTTTGGATCGACGCTAAAAACAACTACATGCTTGATGAAATGGAGGATTTAACTATTCTTCATCTTCTAGATCATGTATGTTCATATTTTCAGGTAAAGTGGTGCAATGTTTTTAAAAAGAAAACGCAGAATGAAGTTTGAGTGAATCAGAATTATTGGCTGAATCAGAAATCTGATTACTGCCCAACTCATGTAGACCTGGGGTTTCCCCATTATCTGATTACTCAAGTGCATGTAAGCACATTGATTAGATTACTGACAAGATCTGATTTTCTGCAGTTATTGGACTATTAAATGCACATAAATGCACTCCATGTTGATATAATTCAACAAGTGACACTTTGAATGAACATTTGTGTCGTCCCATCTTTTATATGATTGAAATAAACAGTAATGCAATTTTCTTTTGTCAAAAAAGTGTACCCCTACACATTTCACTGCTTTAAGCGTGTCAGACTGAAATCAGATGTACTCGTACTGCTGGAGAACATCTTTGAGGAACTGTCTTATTTAAACATCAGATATCTGGTCTGATTCACTCTTTGTTTTTGGAGTGGGTGTGGCATCATCACGCCTAGATCAGAAGAGTTCTCTGAGGCCTTCAGACAGAAAGTTGTTGATGCTTATCTACACACGTTTGAGAAAATATCCAAAACATTGGAAATTAATCCTTTCTCTGTCTGGAAGACCATCTAAAAAAACACTGCAAACTTGCCCAGGCCAGGCCGACCCAGCACACTAAACCCGAGAGCAGATCAGGGTGAGTAAGATGCTAAAAGAATTCTCTAAGAACCCCAAAAATTCATCACAGGATCTGCCACTGTTGATGTACAAATACATGCATGTACTTTGACCTACATGGGAGGTGCATCAGGAGGAAGCCTTTGCTTTATGGCTGCATGTGAGTGTAAGTAAAATAAAAACATTCATGAAATGAATGAATAACTGGAATATCCCCCAGTCCGTATTAATGCATGGGAACTAGATCCTAGCGCATTGCCATGATTTAGTAAGGCGTATGAACAAGATAATTAAATTGTGGCCACGACTTAGTAAGGTGCGGGAATGAGATCATGCCTTATTAACCTGTGGTCAAGGCTTAATTATCTCACTAAGCCGTGGCCACGCATTAGGATCTCATTCCTATGCCTTACTAAGTCATTGCCGCGACTTAATTATCTCATTCCCACACCTTACTAAGTCGTGGCCATTCATTATCTTTACTTACAGGGGATGCCACCAGCAGGCCTCCGTACAACAGTGTTCCAGTTAATCTGATAACATAGTTATGGGTAAAATATTTTATTTGATTAAATTTGTTTAAGAATATCAAAGTCGAGTGCCACTCATAGGGGCCAATCATTAATCTTAGCAAAATAATTAAATTGAATCAAAGTGTGCTGCATCGAATCACTTCCTAAAGAATCGCAAATGAACTGGTTGTGAGGTCAGAGATTTACACTCCAATCTCACTCTTTTTGGTCAGCATCAATCATCTAATGCAGCACTATGCTCTGGGCCTCTTCTACTGCAGGTAGAGTGGCCTTCCAAAGTTCTGCTGAAATTTATTCTCCGTGCTGCAGATTGATTGCGGCTGAGCTTTAAATCTGTCCGCACGGCGTCATCTTTAAACTCTTCCAACACATCTCTGGCTGCGTCCAAGATCCAAGAGAAAGATGAACTCGGACGTGTGAGTTTTCTAAAAATATCTTATTGAAGCCGACTATTGATTTTGAGTCAGCTCAAAGAATCGCACATAAATTGACGAGCGTCGTTCGTTCCACTGATGGAGGCCAGTCTGAGGTGTTTGATGCCAAAAGATCAAGTCAAACATTTAACTGCCCCTTCGTAGAGCAGCTATACTAAATTCAGAGGTCACTTTGTTCAGTCATTCTTTTAAATACGTCGCAGGCCTGGTTTAGTAACAGCCTCCCAAGTGTATTGCAGCCAGCGATGTGTATAAATTGCATTCATTATGTGCTGGGCCATCAGACCAGGACAGGAGACAGCTGTAGCACTGGCCTCTTCCTGCAGCAGGACACTAATTGAACAGCTGCCCATGCTGTTAATGAGGAGAGAACTGCTACGAACCTCCAGCCACCAATTCCTATACAATTAGAGTTTCATCAAGCGGAGCTGGCTGGACATGCAGCAGAGCTGAGCTGCTTCCTGCAAACTGGGGGAAATTGGTGGGCCGTTTATTGAAGAGGAACCGGCTGTGATAAAGATGCATATAACTCAGGGATGGATCATAGTCGTTTGAGGCCCAAGCATCTTTGGGGTCCCATTATAGGAATTTGTATTTTTATGCAGTGGTGAAGTGTGACAATTACAGCTAGGCATTCAGTGTGGGCCATAAATATGATGATTCTGTAAAAAACACCTTTATGGTAATGCTCATTTCTGCTAGCCCACCTATGGGATTTCTATCAGAATGTTAGCGCAAAACTAACACTGATGACCATGAAATTTTTTGTCCATTCAAGGTTAAACACAGACATTTAAATGTTTTATTTGAAGCTTGAAACATTAACATACAAGACATATTAACAGTCCTGCTCACTTGCACCAGTGGTGTGAGGAGCAGTGGCTATTCATTAATCTAATGTTTAAATCTGGAGTGGACTGTGCCAAGGCTTTGAGCCCCATGGCCTCTGGTAGACAGAGGCCCCTAGGCACTGGTTAGTAATCCATCCCTGACATAACTAATATGCAGTCAATAAGAATTGATCAAGGATCATTGTTTTGTAATCATCCCTAAAACACTCTAAACAATGAATGCAAACCTACACACTCAGACAAAAAGGTACGAAACTGTACGTTTTGGGAGCAAATGCTGTCCTGTGCTTAAGAGTATGTTTTTAGTACGTTTAGTCAGGGAGCATAATTGTACCATATTCTGTTGCAAGTGGGTTTTTTAAGGTTTTTAAATCCTGCCTTGACTCCTGGCCTTTTATTTCATATTTCTATTAAAAACATTTGTTTATGAAAAGAGAGAAATGTACACTTTTTCTCTGGCATCTTCCCCAGGGAAAGTGAACATAGTGTAGCTTTAAAAATCATTTGAAGTTACACAACTAGACCTTAGGGATCATTGTTCTACATTTAAGGGGTACATTTACACCTTTGGAAACCAAGTGGACTGTACCATTTTTCTGACACTGTACATAATAGACACTGTGGACCACTGTGTGGTTTTCCTGAGTCAAGCTTTTACATAGGAAATTATCCTTCATGTTACAATTTTGTCCAAAACTGGGTTTTATCCATGTCTGACTCTACGAGTGTTTTTTATTGTTTGACAGCTCCTTTTATGGCCTTGAAGATCACCTGAGGCAGTTTTGTCATTGTAAGTAATTGAAAAAAAACCTGCTTCCAACTCATTCAATCCCATGGATTTTTCTTCACACTTGTAGCCCCACACATTATGTAGATTTAAATAATGTAGAGTCCTCAAACCACTTCCTCACAGAATGAGCGGTATGGCATACATTGACTTGATAAAATGGCTTTTCATCCCTTTTGTGGTTTTCCACCTTTCATTGAACAGAAGGGATAGATGTGTTCAAATACATCAAAAACAGAGAATGACACACAGTGTGTATCACAGCAATTCCTTTTGCCAGTATAAGATATAAGCTGAACTGTAACTTGGATCTCAAACTAAATGTTTACATTAGACTACCTATTTAAGATTCAACATTTTTAGATAATGTACAATTGTATCATTATATGAGGGTCTCAATAAACATTTTAGGCACCTCCTGAAGTACCATGGACCTTCACCTGTG